ACGGTGCTTTGAGAGAGTATTTTATTAACTTTTTCAGTGTTCAACATCTCGGTGAACTTTGGAATCGCGATTTTGAATCCGCTAGTGGTCTCGATTGGAATTCTTATGGGAATTCCGATAAGTGCTGGTGAGTAGATTTATAGTAAATACAAAATTTTTGACCTATACATCAATTTACTACGACTTTTTTTATTTTGGCGGGAAATTCAAAATTCAAATCTTTTTTGTGCGAAATGCAGCAATTTCGAATTGTAATCATTTGATCATTGCTAACACTTGTTTTTCGCTTAGTTACCACTCAAATTTCAGCTGTGGACATTCTATTACGCGACCTTCAGGCCGGCCTCACCATTCTCATTGGCGGAGTTTTGATCTCTCTCGGATTTTGCTTGAATACGTTGCCTTTTGATGAATGGATTGGGAAAAGGAACTCCGTAGTGGACAAACGGAAGCATCAAGCAGTATAATAACGGTGTGTCATAATGCTAACCGGGTTTTTATTAGTGATGAAAAGTAATAAATAGCGCTATGCCTTACATAAAGGAGGAGAGACTAAAAAGGATGTAATTCCTTCAGGGCACAAGATATTTTTATGCAATTTAGCCAGCTTATAGCCTACGGCATAATCTCTATTCTGGCGAAATTTTAAGTCCGTCTGAATCTCGCGACAAAAGTTATAGATCATTTATACAGTGCACTGCATTAGAGATGACGTTTCAAATATTTCGGTCACTATGGCCTGAGGGCTTGATGGATCTTTCTAAAATGTTGACCACTTCGAAACTATAGCCTGTTTATTCAATGGTCAAAATTTTGGGTTCCGATACTTGAGGACAAAAAAGTTATAGTTGATTTTGTCATATCTGGTATGGATAATATACGTTGGTATAGAAAGCCTCGAAATTCACTAAGATAGTGGTATTTTTTGCTTTGTACATTATCTATAAAGCCTTGATTTACTATGCACAACATCACATTGTACGAACTCCATATTGAGTATTTAGATTATACGTTTTCTCGTCAACTCAATCCAAACGAACTCGTTTATTTCCCTATTTTTAGCGTTCTTTGTTCCGTCCCTCGTGATTTTAGACATCGGAGAGCACAAACCAGTCCGGATGATCAAAGCCAGCCGTCTGAGCTTGATTTATAGCGAAATATCAAAGGAAATCGAGCAATTTCCGAAAAAGATCTAGGGAAAACGAGAGAACCGAGAGAAACGTGGGAGAGGATTAGAAAGGAAGAGAGTGGTCAGAGAAACGAGACTGTTTGATAGAGCACATTAATGTGAGGGAGCGGGCATAGAAGTCAGAGGAACTTCGGGGCGCGAGAGGAGGGCAATAAGGTTTTCTAGAAGCAAGCGACATTTTATACAATGAAACATCTCTGTAACATTGAAAAAATTGTTGTAAAAACTGTAAGAATAGCTAAACGGCCTCGAAACTTATTCGAAAAATATTCAAATGAAATGAGAAAAGGTTGTGTAAAACTTTTTTTCCAAGATTTCAAATAGCTATTGAGATAGAACCATTTATTCGATATTATCCATGGTTCTTTGAATAATCTTTCGACATTTCAGAAATTTGTCGTAATAATAAAGAATTTCTTTTATACAACGCAATAACCCACTATCCCAATAAATCAGAAAGCTATTATTGCCATTTATTTCCGTGCAGTTTCACAACAGAAACTCCTTACCTTACATTACCAATTTCCGCGACCTGCGCCCTGCCATCTCCGAATCCCGCGCATTTTGGACGCGGTCGGGCTTCTTTCGAAAGAACTAGAATTTTCGTTGCTTGCGTCAAAGCTGTGCGTCCTTTCGCTTTCTCCCATCCTCTCCGACCTTTTTCTGTCTAACACAAGACCAGCCAGCCTCCCTCGTGTCGAGTCATTCGTGGTTTTCTTCTCGTATCGATCGGCGGCGCTCCAATTTTCTGACGAAATTCGAGGTGGAAATCGCACAAATTCAGATGGATAACATGCAAATTGAACGTGGATTTTCAGGCAGATCGTTCTCCAGGCCATCTGATGAAGGCGCGTCCCGAAAATGGCCAGAAAACGCGATTTTTTCGAGGAATTTTCCATAATTTGTGACGAAATCCACCTAAAATAATGTTTTTGGAAAATTGAAGTGAATCCGTCGGGGGAGATGTGGATTTTTGGGTAAAATAGGTTGTTCAGAGTCTTTTTAAGCGTATCTTGATCAAAATTATATAAATCTTGTTTAGTTTTCATAGATTTTTGAGCTGATTTCTGAGTCTTACAATCTAAAATTACGAAATTTTTGTTGTTCTCAAAAATAATGTTTTTGTCGCAAAATTCAAAATGAATTAAAAATTAATTCATTTTGTGTCTTTTTCGATCCGAAGAGGAGTCGATTTGGTGAGCTTTTCATTATTTTTTGACTAGAAGAGTCACAAGTGTCTAGTGTAATATAAGGTGGTTGTTTCGGCTATATTTTTGTTTCCATGGTAACATTTGTTGGTCCATGATATTTATGTGGTTTTACAGATGGGTTTGACTCTCTATTTCGCGCCTTTTCGTGGTTTTTACGAGATATTTTTCCGATGTCAAGTGCAATATAATAATTTCGTTGTATTTGCAGGAATCCGATTGAAACTCGAGCAGGATGTCTTTCGCTGCTTCTTCAAGCCAAGCCAAGTTTGCCAAGGCCGAAAACGACAAGGAAAAAGAGGTTACACCCACGAAAATTTTAACCATTGCGATCCGCAAACGCCGTGAGTTGCTCGAGGAGAAGGAAGCGGACCTCCGGCGCGAGATCCAGCATAAATACATGATTCAGAGTCTGTGTCAGTATCTGGGCGATTCGCGCGCCAAGAAGCGTCGGCAGCGCCGCAAGAACAAGAAGTCCAAGAAGGATGGGGAAGGTGGGAGCGTCGCGAAAACGGGCCCCGAATACGAGCAGGACTTTGGTTATGGGTCGGACAGTGGATTCAGTTCGTATGCGAGCCCATCGTACAGTCAGCATGGTCTGGAACAACTCGGAATCCGAGACCAGGACCAGGTTCTTCAGGTAACCCCACAGAACTCATGTTCTTTTTCCGATACCAATCCCAATGGTCCATTCGAGCAAGCCATGTCCGGACTGTCTGCTGCTACTGGTTTTGATGAGGTGAGTTCACTTTAAAATTGATTTTTTTATTGTACTAGGTTAATATGGATGAAGAAAAAATCAGAGGTTATTGGTCTAACGATAGATGTTTTTGGCTATCTTTAAGTAGAATAGTGTATTACACAGCTCGTAGGGTGTGGATTGTTTTGTTTTTAGCGTTTTTCCGGCATCATTTATATTACACTTGATGTCTGATGTCTAAATTAATATTTTTTTCATGATTGTTGATGGTTTTATGACTCCAAATGGATAGATATAGGTAGTAGAAGCTTCTAGGTGTCTAACGAGAGTAGTTTCTTTTATTTGGACGACGGATTTTTTGGTAGAAATTCAAATTTCTTGAAAAGTTTTGAATTTTTTTTATTTTGAATAATTTATTGGCATTTTTCAGAACTACGATCCATTCCAAGGCTACTCGGGCTTCTGGTCGCCCAGTCCAACCTCATCACGCGATTCTTCGCTCTCCGAATCCTGCTCCAGCAGTGCAAGTTGGGAGAATTCACTCTCTGCTTTCAGTTACGAAACGGATTTCTCTGCGCTGCAGCCTCAGGTGGTGGAACACGATGGCTACAGCCCACCCTCGTCTGATCTCACCCCGCTGAAACCGATGAAACGCCGATGGGACTGCGGCCCCGAAGGCATGGACATGAAACGGACCCGCGTGGAGCCAGTACAAGGTTAATAGCTATTATAAAGTGGTTTTCCCTAGAGATCTCATCAGTACAATATAGACGTATCATTTGTGGACTCGTGGATTTTATTTCTTGCACCTTTTTTTGGTAGTTTCTTACACTTGCATTCGATTTTTAGGGATTTTTGTCTTGAGCATACCACCTTGAAGTAGGTCGAGTTTAGAGGTCTGAAAACGACGTTTCCCCTTCTTATTGTCCCCGTCTTTTGCTCCCGAAATGTAAAACAAGACTTGAACTTTAATTTTAGACTGCTACCAGCGCACCGGGTCGCGGTATTGGACGGCTGTGAGCTGCTGTTAACCGAGCCATCTCCGCAGAAGAGAGAATTCGAAAAAAGTTTTTCATTTTGATTTCCTCTCGTCTAATTTATCGTTACAGACTGTGCGCGATACAATATCCCCCCACCACTCGTACGGCTCCAACGTTACAGTTGCCGGAACGGTGAGAAAACCGGAGTAATTACCTTATTTTAGAGGAGATCTCAAATAGTTGTGGTAAAAATTGCAAATTTCTGCTAGAAAATGTCCCCCCTAGACCTTTTGTAAGTTGTCAAGTATTGTATATGGGTATTCGCATTATTTTTTGTACACTTTGTTGGTTCAATGCTATAATATAAATAAATTATTACCATGATGTCGGACTTGATTTTTTTTGTAATTATTGGAATGAAATGGACTTGAATTAAAGGAAATGAGTTTGAAATAGTATTTAGAGCTGATTTTGAGTCGGATTAGGGATTTAGGCAACAATAACGACAGGTTTTTTCCTTGTCCATTCGTCAATGGGCAGCGTATTTAGACAAAATCCGATGGAGATCAAGATCCCACCAACCAAAACTGTTAGTCCGGCATCCAGACCGTGGAAGAGAATGTCGACAGCTGAAAAATTGGGATAGAAATGTTGTTTCAGACGAAAATTCGAAGAAATTTGCCATGGATAATATAAAAAGTCTTCGAAATCGGCGAAATTTTAATGTCTAAGGCGTGGAGATCAGAAAAGAACTCGTATTTGATCCTACAAGGCCATCAAAGCAAAAGATTTCCGTTGAAATCACATAAAATTTTGTGATCCTACCTGCGCTGATGGGGATTCCTAAAAGTATCCCGATGGAGACGACCAATGGATTCAGAATGGCGATTCCCATGTTCACAGAGATGTTATACACTAAAGAACGTGATAAAAAGCAAATTGGCATTGTAGGTCACACTTACAAGCAGCCATGGCCAAATTTCCGGCCACAGCTTTCCACGGAATCGCCTCCCAAACTAGGACGTCCAAGTCGTATTTTACCAACATGTACGTGGTAAATGAGTTGAAGACGAGGTTGGCGAGTCCTAGAAGAGTCAGGAAGAACAAAACTTGGCCAAGATTGAGATCACCGAAGATCTTTTTGAAGGAGGTCTAAAGTAAGGTCGGATCAGGTAAAATAAAGTCGATCTTGAGGTTTTAATGGGCAGATCCGGTATTAAAATATTGCTGGTAGCATGAAAAAGCTATTTTAGACCAAATTTGGCGATTTGTGACTAATTTTATAGCCAAAAAGCTAATAGTATAAAATAAGGTCGGATCAGGTAAAATAAAGTCAAATAAGGTCAATGTTGAGGTTTTAATAGGAAGATGAGGCCTTAAAATATTGCCAGTAGCATGGAAAAGCTATTTTAGACCAAATTTGATTGCTTATATCTAATTTTATAGCCAAAAAAACGAATCGCAACATACGTTGTAGATGGCGATACACGAAGCGCACAGCAAAATTAAGACCACCCCGGTGACACTCCCAGTAAATTCATCGTCCATGGAGACTAGCACAACGCCTGCTATACTCAAAACCACTCCACAAGCCTAAAATTATATTGCACTTGACATCAGATACCTAAAATTGCCAAAAAAGAGCTCTAAAACTGTAATCAAGCCCTGAAAAAGTGTAAAACCAACTTTAAACCAGCTGAATCTCGCCTTCAGCCAGAGGATCGACAAAACAAAGACCATCGCGGCATTCAGCGAGTTTATGGAGACCGCGGCCGAAACCGAAATAAACTTCAACGAGACCGCGAAAATGTAGTTCGGCGCGATCCAGCCATAGACGATGAGGATTGAGGCGACAATCAGCACCGGGATCGGGTAGAATTTCCCCTGAAAAAGTTTGTTGGCCTTGATTTTCTTTACTTTTTCATTTTTCAAAATTTTCATAGCATCGTAATTGATGTCGGTCGCCTTTGCCGTGGTAAATAACACTTTGACTGCCAAGAAAATCGGATATAATGGGATCATCAGCAGCGTGTTGAGGTAGGTCATCCAATAAGGCGCGAAGAACTTGGTCTCGTCCAACGTCAGCGCTTCTTTCGCGAATTGGCCGGAAAATGTGTTGCTCAGCGCGACGAAAAGACAAACAACGATGGAGAGGAGGGTCTGAAAGTTATTTACAGTACAATATGCATATATGTTGGGGTAAAATACGGATCGAAAAATCGTGTTTTTCCGATGACTTTAGCCGATGATGACTAATATATTTTCGCCTGCTGGTCCTCTGTTTTTGGTCAGATTAAAATCATATTTTGCCGAGATGATTACTGCAGTTTATTGCTCTATCATGCAAAGCGACGTTCAGTTTCTTCACAAAATACGGGATTTATAACAATTTTTCTACACCTTGCTCTAAAGCCTCGTGGTGAATATAAAATGCATTCCAAAGGCACAGATTGAAGGTATTACTTTCAATTTTGGTACCCTGGATTACTGTAGCATCAGAGTCAAAATCAGGACACAAAATTTGATAAAGTTCTTTGCTAAAATACGTTCACGGCAATGAGTTTCTTATTCCCGCTTTGGTGCATGATCGTTAATATAAATGTGTATAGAACTGATCGCTATCACCGTTGTTTACTGTAGTCTTTTTTGTATCGGATTACCATAGCATCGAGCTAAACTATGGCAAATTTCAGCTCAATATCTTTTAAAATACGACGTCTACACCTATGTCTTTCGAATATGGCTTAATGTGTCATGGTTAATATAAAATGTCTCTCAGCTTGGACGAATCTCAACTTATAGAGATAAAATTTTTCGCTGAGGATTACTGTAGCATCAGCCCTGCCAGAGGCAAATTTCAGCCCTTAATTTTACAAATTACGGAATTTATGGGGTATTTTTCTCACTCTTCCCTTCAAATCTCATGATTTATATAAATTTGATCGCAAGACGTAAAATTTCTTACATTTTCGGCCTTCACCTCCACCATGTTGAATCGAAATTTTCGAACTCCAAATAAACGAGTAATTACAAGTTCACTACAGAACAGCCATCAGATTACTTTAGAGGTCTTGTACAATACCTATTGAATAAGGTCAAACATTCACTTCGAAAAAGTCCCCATTACTGGGGGAGTAACTTTTCAATTTCTCTATTGTAGATCACACTTTCTTTGAGTTGACAGTAATCGGTAACAATGGGGTTTTACCAGTTGTATTCGATTGTTTGTCTAGGTGCACATGTCTTTAATTTTTACGTGTGTGTTGGGTTTGAGTGTTCGGAAAATGAATGAAACCGAAAAGTTCATAGATGAGGGTGATAGGAAATGGAATAAGCTGTATTCGTTTTTTTGCAACATGCTGAAGTAGTTGTAAAAAGGATTTAATCAGTTTTTGAATATTACCCATGATGACTTTTAATTTATCGAATAAAACATGCTGAATTATCGATGGATCTTTACAAAAACGAGTACCGAAATACTTTCTAGACCTTGTAACAATATTTAAGCTGACAATAAGCAGTTGGATTACTGTAACATAGCGAAAATTTGGTTTGAAAAGAGCGCCCCATTTCCAAGAGAAGTTACTTTTTTTGATTTTAACTTTTTTCATTCTTTTGTAAATGTCACAAAAACCCACATAAATATGCCTCTCGGCTTGCTAAACAATATCGTAACTGACACCAACCACGTCAGATTACTGTAACATAGCGAAATTTTAGTTTGAAAAATAATTCAAACCAAATATAATCTCAAAGAGAGGTTCCTTATTTTGATTGTAACTTTTTTCATTCTTATGTAAATGTCACAAAAACCCACAAAGATATGTTTCTAGCCTTGATAAACAATATTGTAACTGACAAAAACCACGTCAGATTACTGTAACATACTCAAAATCGCATTTGAAAATTACTTCCCAAAAGTCATCAAAAATTTCAAAAGCATTTTTAAATGTAAAAAATCAGTGCCACCAGTTTATTATTGACCCGGAAACACGATCACCACGGCGACAACAACAGGTTATGGGTTGGGGTTACGGTATTTGGAGATGAATTTCTTGGACCATTCGTCGAAAGGGAGGCTGGTTAAACAGAACCCGCCCAAAATGAAAAACCCGCCGATATAGGCCTTTATGCCCGCAGGCAGTCCGCGGAAAATAATGTCGACAGCTAAAAAATTGGATGTAGAATTGATTACGATGGATTTTATGGACATTTGAAGACTGAAAAAAGTGTGGATTTTACCTGCATTCATTGGGATCCCAACGAGAAAAGCGATGGAGACAACGAGCGGATTCAGAAGGGCAATTCCAAAGTTGGCCCCCACACTGAAGGCTGAAAAACGAGTGTGAATGTCCCCTGAGCTCTTACCACAACCGGCAAGAGCGTTGCCGAGGACAGGCAACCATGGAACAGAACTCCAATTGATTCGATCATAATCCAGATATCCCATAAAAAACATTGGGATTGTGTTCCATATGAAGTTGGATAGGCCCAAAAGAGTTTGATAGAATAGAACCTGACCCAGCGAGAGATCTCCGAAAGCCTTTTTGAAGGCTGTCTGCAACGAAAATTGGGTCATCAAAACAGGTTTTATCGTATAAAATGTCACTTTTTGCTATAACGTAGGATATTGACGGTAAAAAAGTTTTATGGTTGCCTAGAAGCGTATATTCCTCAAAAAAAAATGACTTTTCTAATTCTAAAATACGAGTTTAAAAACATGTTTCATCGTATAAAATGTCACTTTTCGTTATAACGTAGGATATTGACGGTAAAAAAGTTTTATGGTTGCTAGAAACGTATATTCCTAAAAAAATGACTTTTCAAAGTATAAAATACGGGTTCAAAACCATGTTTCATCGTATAACATGTCGCTTTTGCCCTAATCAACGGATTTTTTCCGGGAAAATCGTGCGAAAGTCTTTATAATATCCTACTCGTGCTAAATATACCACGAAAGTGACAAAATTTATGATTCTTACTGTATAAATAGCAGTCAGTAGAGCCCATATTAAGATCAGGCAAACTCCGAAAACGCTGCCAGTAAATTGCCCGTCCATGGATAAAATCACAACTCCAACGATGCTCACGACGATTCCACCGGCCTGAAAGAGAAGTTTTAGAATAAAAACTGTATTTTAAAACAGAAAATTATATTATACTAGACATCAGATGGATGACAAAACATGTGAAACCGACAATTAAATTCATACGAATTTTGAGAACACACCTTAAAGAAGCAGAATTGAGCATCCAGCCATAAAATACTAAAGACGAACACCATGGCCGCACTCAAACTTCCGATTGCCGTGGCGGCCGAAACCGAAATATACTGGACGGAGATGCCGAAGAGAAACGGTGGGCCTGTCCATAAGGCCACAGAGATCGCAGAGCCAAGGAGCAGGGTCAGTTCGGGATATAATTTACCCTAAAATACGAAAAATTTGAAATTTCCTTGAGAGGATGACAAACATTTTTAAATCAAAGGATTTGATAAGTCATGGACAAGAAGATATCAAGTGTAATATATATTTTGACAGCCTATTGTGAGTAAAATAAGATGGCATATTTGTTTCTTGCCAGAGGCATTTTATTTTTGCAAAACCGACGTTTCAATTTTCCGTCTACATTTTGCATCCGAAAATTTTTTTATCGTATAAAATGGCAGCTATGTCATGAAATTGAATTTTTCCAACGATGTTAGCCTCCTAAGTACTCATTCCTTGTTCTTACAAAAAATTGCGATTATAGTATCATCGATGACTTAGTTATGGCCTAAATTGCAAAGTCATCACACTTGTGACAGCTTTGAAAAATCATCGTATTTTAGGTTAGAAAACACTTAAAATCGAACTCATACGAATTCATATCATAGATAACGTCAAAATAACTCCTTTTATCGACCTACATCTTTATTTTCCACCACTTTTAACGCGTTTTCGTTGATTTTGGCGACCGATTCCTTTGAAAAGATGACTTTAATTAATAAATATGCCGGATAGAGCGGAATCATCATCAAAGTCCCAAAGTAGGCCAAGAAAAAGGGTGCTGAGAAGTTTTCAGGGTCCTCGCTTAACGCTGTCTTGGCCAGTTGGTTGGCCACGGTGGTGCAAATTGCGATGAAAATGGTCACCACAACGGATAAAACGATCTGAAAAAAAACGTTTAAATTAAAAAAAATGTAATCTCAAATAAAGGTAGACCTGATTGGAATAGAAAATAAATACAATGTGGCCCTATTTTTGGCCACATTCAGCTTTGTTTTCTATTTTTTTGCTTGTTTTTATCAAAAATCATCAATTTTTGCCGAAAAATGACAAATCTTTGGGATTTTTTGGAAATTCAAAAATTTAAAATTGAAAAATACGGTTTGAAATAGATCCCTAGGGCAGTTCAAATAATTTGACAAAAATTTCAGACCATAGCGACCATATTTTAGCATCAAATCACAAGATTTTTTGAAAATTGCCAATAAAACGGCAAAAAATTTTTAAAAATCTTAATTTTATGGTCAGTAAATAAAAAATAATGAAGTATTTATACATTACAGGGAAACTAGAGTTCATGGCCAGTCTTTTTGGCGAAGAAAATTTTGAAATTTTTCGAAAAAATCCAAATTTTTATAAAAAATCATCAAAAAATGAGGAAAAATTGAAAAATCTTGGTAAAAAAAGATACATAGCATTCTAAAAACCATTTCAATTAAAAAACCAATTCTCTGTTTATCCTAGAGAACCAAAATTTTATACAAATTTTGCGCAGAAACTTACGAATTTCGCTCCTTTGATCGGCATTTCCCACTACTACAATATCAGCCCAAAATTTCCGGCCCAATCGCTTGTCAGGACGATGTTATCTCTGTCCAACTTTGTTTCCTGGGTCATCAGTTCGTGGCCAGTTCCGAAAATTTGCAAAAAAAAAATTTTGTTTCAAAATTTTTGTTTTCTGTTTTTGCGAAAATTCCGGAAAACAGCTCGCATTTTTATTCGAATACCCTTGAAAAATGATGGAAAACATTGCGTAACCTTTCTGAGTGCAATGAGGATTTACTTGAGGAGAAAATAAGTGCAAATTCAGGGGGGAAAAAAGTAAAAAATTGAGATTTTGGAGGGAAATTTGGGAAAAAGAGGGAAAAATTGGAAAAAAGAGTGTAAAAACTACAACTCTTGTATTTAAATAATAAAAATTTGCATACACATTGTTTATAGGTCACAAATCATTTGTTGAAAATTTCAGCCCACAAGCTGCAAGGGCTGCCGAGATATTCAACGTTATTTTTCGACGAGAGAGCATGTAAAATGAGGAGAGCGGTCAGAGAAAAAGTTCTGTTTTTTAATGCAGGTCATAAAAATAAGACAAAAAAAGATTAAATGTCGCAAAATTGGTTCTTAAAAGTGTTAGAAAAACAAGAATTCTGGAGCAAAAATTACCATGAAAGGGGTGTTTTCGAATGTTTTTGAGAGAAAAACAATCTTTGAGACTGGATAATCCTGGGACACTTCGCAAAACGGAATTTAGTGACATTTCGTATTCTTTCACTCTTCTCAAGGAATTGTTTTTAACATGCGGAATCTTTGCAAATTCCTCGGGAAATGACAAAAACGAATTTTTTTTAATCTAGGGGATACCCCAAGTTCGCGTTCAAATTTTGACAAAACTTGGCACAAATTTAAAAAATAATTTTTTTCTAGGACATATGCGAGACTCCCCGCTCGTTTCCCCTTGCAGAAACAACTGCAGAAAACAACGCCGCCGAGATATCGAACGATTTTTGCCGCCGAGAGAGCACCCTAAAAATGGAGAGCGGTCAGAGAGAAAAGCGCTTTTTGGCCATAACTTTGGCAGTTTCGTGCGGAAAATTTTGATTTTTTGTAGAAACATTACCCTTTACGGTTGAAATAGGCATGAAACTTTTCGTGCCCAAATTCGGCAAAAAGTCCTAAATTTTGGCCGACTTTCGATCTAAAAATCTCGGTTGTTTCTGCAAAGCGGGAGCTAGGATTCTCGGATATATCTTAGAAAAAATTATTCTAAATTTGTGACAAGTTTCATCAAAATCTGAGCGTCGCACTTCAGGTACTTCCCCTGTAAGCCTTTTTTGCGAATTTTGATTTTTTTTTTTCATAAATACTCGATTTAGGGGTTTTCGATGGTGCTGATTTCGAAAATATTATTGGTTTTTTCTGATTTGAAAGCAGCACCATCGAAAACCCCAGACCGAGTATTCACAAAAAAAAATCAAAAAATTACTACTTTACAATACTATTATACTTAAGGAAAAAAGTGAAAATCAAAAAATGAATTTCTTTTTCGAAATCAGCACCCTCGATTATCCTAATTTCGACACTTGCATCGAAGAAAAATAATACTTTTCGGTTTCCCCAATCGTCCCAGTTCATTTTAATATCCCTCATTTTTGATGACTATTTCTCAGAAACAAAGATGCCTTGAGCAGAAAGTTAAGTGACATCTAATACTACTCTCTACACGCTTTCAAATGCGATATAATACTTGTCAATTGAGCGTCATCAACATTGCCAAATTGTAATCTAAAGTTATCAGCATACTCCAATAAAAATCGTAATTTTTCAGCGGTCAAAACAGCCCCAAATCTAATCATTTTATACAGTCAGCGCTCTCAATTAGACAAAACAAATTACACATTGCTGTATAATTTCATTACGCATAATGAGACGACTTCGAAATCCCAAAAAAACAGTGGCCAAAAACCAAGGCCGTCATGTTATTCCGATGTATTTTGGTGGGAAAAAGAAGCCAGTAACCGGTGAAAAATACCACCTTCTATTGTTGTGTACCTTTAATTCTCAGAGATCACAAATTCTCCTTCTTTTTTATGATGGATTTGTTTCCCTTTCGCAGTGTAATTTTTCGAGCGACACGCCTTGTTTTTCGGGAGTTGTGAAACTTTCCGGCATGGCTGTGAAATTCGGTAACAAATCAAATTGTCTTATTTCCTTGCGATTTGTAATATTGTACATATATTTACTAGTCAATCCGGAAATTTCAGCGACAAGTTTTCCGCCAGTCGTTCCAGAAAGTGCGTAGACTTTTTTCGGCCTTTTTCCCACCGAACAACGCAAGTTTCCCGTTCCCCGCGCGACGCGATCTTTTTCGAAACATTTTGCACTGTGCAATTTCTTTTTGAGCCCAAAATTCGCGCCGACTCCATTGAGAAAAGCTTGTGTCGCTGCGATATTGGGCTTGCACGGTGCAAAGAATCAAACGCGACCCGCAAAAAGGGGTTTTTTGCACGGTGCCACCAGCGACAAAAAGTTCGGCGACATGCACTGTGCGAAAACAAAAGTGCATCTCGCACTGTGCAATTTCTTGCTTTTTGCACAGTGCAATTGGCTTTTTTGGGCTGTCGCCCGCACCTTGACTTTTTTTGCACAGTGCAAACGCCGAAAATCATCTCAGCGACTTTCAGTAAACATCTAATTTTATTTTTTTCGTACTTGGCGTTGCAGAATTTGAAATTACGGCATTTTTTTTTTTATTTCCTCGTCATCCACCGGTCGAATGGAAAGGTGGTCAAGCAGAATCCGATTGAAATTAGAAGTCCTCCAAAATAAAAGTAGGCGCTGGCTTGAAGACCGCGGAAGATGATATCAATTGCTGCTGTCATCGGAATCCCAACCAAAACCCCGATCGCGACCGCCAACGGGCTCACAAACGCGACTCCAACGTTCATCACGATACTGTAGGCTGCAAAATACAGAGTAAGTAAAATTCAATAAAATTTTTATTTTTGAATGTCATGAACAACATTTTGCCAGAAAAACAATTTTTTCCGAGCGAAATTCGCCAAGAAACGGCTGAAAAGAGATTTTTCTCTGACCCTCTCCTCATTTTTTGTGCTCTCTCGGAAAAGTCTCATATCTCGGCTCGCATTGCAAAGAGGAAACTAAAATTTTCAGCGATTGAAACAGAACCTAGACAGATTATTGTTGCCAAATTTCATCAAAAGCCGACCACATATCTTCGAAAAATTTGATTTATAAAAACCTTACTCAACATTCCGAACGACAGCCCAAGAACTGGCGGCCAAGGGATTTGTTTGAAGTCCACGTGCTCCAAATCGAAAAAAATTATCGCCGCGACCACCGCCGTGTTCCAGAGCAAATTCGCCAGGCCCAGGAGGCTTTGGAAGAGCATGATTTGGCCCAAAGATGGCTCGCCGAAGACCTTCTTGAAGCTGGTCTGAAATAAATGTAAAAATTTTTAAGTTAATGGTGAAATAGTGCTTGTTTGGCTAGTCAGAATTCACCGTCCATTTGTAAAATACAGCATACAGCCTAGTATTCAAATTGCGAAGACCTCCGTTATTCATGCGAAAGCTTACCGTGTAAAAAGCCATTCCCGTAGCGGCCAAGAAAATAATGAAAACTCCAAGTATATCACCGGTGAATTCGGAGTCCATTGACAGAAAAAACACCCCAGATACGCTGAAGATGATGCCTACGGCCTGAAAAAGCCAACTTAAGATATATTTACTTTTATCCCGACTCCTCATTTTCGTCGTTTTTGGTCTGCAAAGATTGCTGAATATCTCTGCTGCCCTTGCAAAACTGAAGCTGCAATTTTCAGGAATGGATATGTAATTGATCTGCAACATCTGCGCAAAATGTCATGAAAATCTGAGTTCTGGTCTTTGAGAAAATTTCACTTCTTTCGGCCTATATTTGCTAAAAAAATGTTGATCTCTAGCCAACTTTCCACCGAAAAATCTCCATTGAATTTGCCTAGAACGACGTAAAAATCCCGTATATGCCGTAAAGACTACTATTCTAAGTTTGTGTCAATTCTCATCCAAATCAAAGCGTCCTCCTTGTAGCTGTACCACTTGCAATTCAACCTACCGTAAGCCATGAAAACTTGGTTCCCAGGCAGAAAATGCTGATTATAAACACCATTGCCGAGTTCAGACTCAAAATTGAGAGCCCCACCGACACTGAGACGTACTTTACGCCGACGCCGAACAGATACGGCGGGCAAATCCATAGGGAAAGCGCAATTATTGAGGCAGCAGCCAACTTCCACGTGGGATAAAGCTTTCCTTTTTTGGTTTTTAGAATCTGCAATGCTTCGGAATGGAGTTGCGACAAGGCTGATGAGGAGAAAAGGGCGGAGGCGAGTAGATAAAGGGGATAAAGTGGGATCATGAAGAGGACTGAAAAGTAGGCCAAGGCAAACGGCGCATAAAAATGAGCGACATCGATGGCCAAGGCGGTTTTATGGAACTGTCCGGTGATACTGGCGACTGTTGCGATGAGAAGGGTGGTTGCAGCGGACGCTATTATCTGGAAATGGAGAAAGCTTCTTATTTTTTTGGTAGGCTCAAAATGATGACTTTTTATTGAAGCCTTCGGTTCTCAATGTGCGATGGGCAGATCTACTTTAGATTTCTTTCATATTATCTGTCTAGCCAACACATGATTTCAGCCCACCTCTTTCAAGGACAGCCTGGAAACACAAAAAAATGGAAAAAGAATTGATTGAGTCAAGTCTTTCTCCGGCCGTTCGAGTCAACTGTTCTTCTAAGCAGAAACACCGCAATAAATCGACAGAAAACGACAGCGTCAACGCACATACAGTCAGGGACCTGATCCAGTGGCAAAAAACGAACCATTTTGGATCCAGGAAGTATCAAAAATGTGGGAAAATGCTTCCCTATCCAAGTGAAAAAACTTCGTTTTGAAGGGCGCGCCTTTTCCATCACAAAAAGAGTTTTTGAAATCGGGTTTTTTTCACTTGGAGAATGAAGCATTTTGCCACATTTTTGATACTTCCCGGATGGAAAATGGTACGGTTTTTGTCATTGCATCAGGTCCACTGTATACACGGGTTGGTCAGTACAAAGATTTTTAGTCATTTCAGAGCCACCAATTTACTTACTTTTCCAGCACTCATCCTCGCTGATGTGTCGCCAAAAACAAGCTTCTTTTACAACGTCCCAACAAACTTCACAAACTTCAAACTTCACCGTTCGGAAACAATCACAACCCTTCCCGTCCATGGCTTATAAACATTTCAGAGTTCTAATAACCGTGTCGTTAAGAGCTAGGTTTGTAGCCTCCCTTTCGATCCGTTTATCCTCTTTTACCAAACACAAATCTCGGTAGTCTCTGTATTTTATAGTAAGAACATTTTGTGCGATCAATGACTACACTAATCCAAAGTTTTTGATGTATGCATTGTGCGCCAAATTTAATGAAATTGATGGTCACTGCAACAATGTCCGGGCCCCGTGGAGGGAAGCTTCCGTTTGTAAAAAACTCGGTTAAAAAGATACGGTTGAGCCTGAACTCTCCCCCTTCTTCAACTCTCCCTCAAAAAGGGCGGAACTCTCCCCTTTCTTGATTTTCACCAAAAAATCTGAACTCTTTCCCTTTTTGAACACTCCCCCTCATTTTGAAAATTGAAAAAATGAGGTGTGACATTTTATACGATGAAATTTTTTTTCATATTGAGAAAAATTGGGTGTGACATGTTATACGATGAAAATGTTTTTCATATTGAGAAAAATGAGGTGTGACATGTTATACGATGAAAATTTTTTTCATATTGAGAAAAATGAGGTGTGACGTGTTATACGATGAAATTTTTTTTCAAAATGAGATACGATGAAAATTTTTTTCATATTGAGAAAAATGAGGTGTGACGTGTTATACGATGAAAATTTTTTTCATATTGAGAAAAATGAGGTGTGACGTATTATACGATGAAAATTTTTTTCATATTGAGAAAAATGAGGTGTGACGTGTTATACGATGAAAATTTTTTTCATATTGAGAAAAATGAGGTGTGACGTATTATACGATGAAAATTTTTTTCATATTGAGAAAAATGAGGTGTGACGTATTATACGATGAAAATTTTTTTCATATTGAGAAAAATGAGGTGTGACGTGTTATACGATGAAAATTTTTTTCATATTGAGAAAAATGAGGTGTGACGTATTATACGATGAAAATTTTTTTCATATTGAGAAAAATGAGGTGTGACGTGTTATACGATGAAAATTTTTTTCATATTAAGACAAATTGGGTGCGACATGCATGTCATACGATGAGGACGTCATTTTTTTCACAAGGAAAGTACTTCTATGGGGTGTGGAATTACCGGTCGAGATATATATCAAAAAATTCGCAAAAATTTTCTGATTCAGAATATATATAAATTAGCTGCCTAATTTTGGTCTATCAGTGAGTTTTTTCAATAAATGTTTTTCTCGAGGAAAAAAATCTGCGGCAACAAAAGCGCGCTCGGTCTCTTCCTTCGGAAGAGAGCGGTGTGGCCGAGTGGTTAGAGCGCTGGGTTGGAAATCCGAGGGAAACGGGTTCGATTCTTTTTACCACACTAGAAACCATTTTTTACATTGGAACTACTTTTAAGGTGTAGTGGTAATCCATTTTGATATTTTAAGGCTTGTCATGGCCTCAGAATTTAGTTTAGCATAAAACAAATTTTTTTTATTGGTAAAAACACGGTCAAAAAGACACTTGCATGGTGTCGCGAGAAAACTTCTGAGGACAAAAACATGTCATTAGACCAAAATTAGGCAGCTAATTTATATATATTCTGAATCAGAAAATTTTTGCGAATTTTTTGATATATATCTCGACCGGTAATTCCACACCCCATAGAAGTACTTTCCTTGTTAAATTTACGTGAAAAAGCATGTTTGACTTTGAAGGGTTATAACTCGACGTAGGATTGATCATTTTTAATGATATTTTTTTTTTTTGATATATATCTCGACCGGTAATTCCACACCCCATAGAAGTACTTTCCTTGTCAGTTTGAAAAAATTTTCATCGTATGACATGTCACACCCAATTTTTCTCCATTTGAAAAAAAGTTTCATCGTATGACATGTCGCACCGATTGAAAATTTTTTCAATTTTCAAAATGAAGGGGAGTGTTCAAAAAGGGGGAGGGCTCATTCAAGGGGGAGAGTTCAGAAAAGGGGAAGAGTTCTGCCGCAACGAAAAAATACCTGTATTTAGTCAGAATAGATAAAAAATGCGGACAGGAGCGATGTTCTTCCCGCTGCTACAATAATTTAAGCTACACTCAATCACAAACTAAAAATTTGGGTTTTTGAATAAAAAAACGTCATATGTAATATAATCTTGATCAAAAACGGTTTCAAAACCTTGATTTTTACATTGAATTACATTTGAGACTTCAAGTCACCGCTTCTGAATTACAGTGGACATCAAGGAGTCCCAATTTTTTGTTTTTTTATAACTTATTTGAGCAAAATTTTGAAAGCTTCGGAAAAATATAACAAGACCTTGGCTAAAGCGCCTCGCCATCCACATTCCACAACTTCTTCAGGGCGTAGAGGAGGAGCTGAATTACGACTAAAATTCCACCAAATCGGCGCTGCACTGTTCCAGCGTCGCCTTGAACATGTCGAACTTGACAACCGGACTGTCCTCCAAACTGACCGCAATAACTTGCAGGTGGTTTAGTCTGACCCACCAGTGTCCTCTTCGAGCCTTTTCGGGCCCGGTTTTGCACCAAGCTGAGCAGCCCATTCGGTGGGAATATTAAATTGGAGTCCGTGAACAAGATCTCGGGGGTTCAATCGACCCGACGATCCACAAAATCACATGGAGAATATCACAGGACGCAAATAAATTACAAAAATTTTTATCCGACTACAATAATATACCTATAATATCATGCTGGACTATGGCTTTGGTGGTGTTATTCCTTATTCCTTGTTACTCCTCGTCTTCCTCTTCAGGCAGTAGTTTGCGTTTTTTCTGAAAAAAGTTGCGCGTGTGTTGCGAATTTGTGTGAAATACGATTTAGAAACGTAGAAAACCTTACGTAGGCGAAAAGGAGAACACCACCCACCAGGATGAGAAAGATCACAAAAGCACAAACGCTGGAACCAAAAACTGCTGGCTGGTTGTTTTCAAAGAAATTGTCCGTTGTTTCGTTTGCAATGCTGAAACCATTGAACAATTAAAATAAAGGTCCAGAAAGACACGCGTTCAGAGTCTGCGACAGTTCGGGTGAACACAGAATCTGCTAGGTCTCTCCTACGACTCGATCAATCTTGTTATTTTGGTTGCCCTCTCCTAACCATGCATACAACGGCAAATCGAGGAACGCCAAACTGAGAAGTTCGCTGACCGGAATAGACTCTTCGCTATCGGTTTTTTTTGCACTTCGTCTTGGTTTCACAGAGAAGTCAGAGAAAAGACGCGCAAAAACATACTCTCTCGCCCCAAAGAATCCCCATTTCTTCCCCGACCAAAAGTTTTTTCGCGTCTTTTTCGGCGAATTGCCAACCTATTCACCGTTCTAGCCTATCTCAGTTTGACGTGCGAGGCGACTCAAAGAATCGTCGACCCGGAAAGTCGAGCCTCAAAATGCAATGTTTGAAAACTTACGTCGAAGTACCCGCCGAAGTCTTGACCAGTTTCACGTAGGCGTTCATGAGCTCACTCTTGTGCTCTTCCAGGAGCGCCGTGTACAACGGGCAGTCCTCCTGGAAGACCAGCGACAGGTAGTACTGAAAAGAAAAGAAATTTGGCAAGGAGGGAAAGTCGTCAATTGCAAACGGCAATTGGAGAATGCCATCGAAAGGAACCCCTCGTCGAGAGGAACCCCTCGTTGAGAGGAACCCCTCGTCGAGAGGAACCCCCGAGTAGGAAATGTTGGATATAGAGGTAATCGATGACGGGGATTTCGAAAATGATGTTAATTTTTTCTGATTTTGACTTTTTTTCTTAACTAGTAGTGTTAAAAAGTAACTTTTTGAAATTTTTCTAAAAATACTGGATATAGGGGTTTTCGAGGGTGCTGATTTCGAAAATCATGTTAGCTTTCCTCTTTATAGTACTACGTGGTACTATACAGTACGAGGTGAAAATATGGCTTTTGGCGTTAATGGTGTTGTTTTGATGCTTAGCACTCCTCAAAAACACGTTTTAAATAACTGGTACTGTTTAGTACTGTCTGGTACGAGGTGAACTATTTTCACCTGTGTAGTACAAGGTGAAAATAGGAGTACTAAGCAACAGAACAACACCACTAACGCATAAAGGCCAAATTTTTACCTTGTACTGTATAGTACCAGACAGTACTATAAAGAGGAAAGTTAACATGATTTTCGAAATCAGCACCCTCGAAAACCCCTATATCCAGTATTTTTAGAAAAATTTCAAAAAGTTACTTTTTAACACTACTAGTTAAGAAAAAAAGTAAAAATCAGAAAAAATTAACATCATTTTTGAAATCCCCGCCCTCGAAACCCCCTACATCGACCTTCGAAACCCCCTACATCGACAAATTTCCTCTATATTCGGAAAAATCGAGAGGAACCCCTCGCGAGGGGTTCCTCTCGACGAGGGGTTCCTCTCGAGGAAAACCGCAATTGGAGGGAAAATATTTTTTTTCACTTTTTTGGCTATCCAAAACCATACTTCCACCCTTACAAACGCTCCAGTAGTCGTTTTTACCGACCCATGCACTTGATTGGCCTTGAAAAGATCTCCGCAGAGGGCCTAAAATTTGGAATCTTTCTAAAATGGCGTCTAACCTCCGTCTCAAATGTTGGATGCGTCAACTAAGGGCATGTCAGGCCGAAAGGGACTATAGCTGTAGATCTTGTGAAGATGGGCGAACTATGGTTTCGGCTAGCCCAAAAAGCGAAAAAAATCTTTCTCCCCCAGTTTCCGTTTTCCCAAATCGGTCCCGGCTAATCAGGGATGTGAATAATCATAGAAAGAATTGTTATAACTCACCAAGGAGTACAGCTCTGACTCCGTTCCTTCAGTCAAAACAATCTGCTTCTTTTCGCAATCCGCAGGGGAAGTGGCATTCCATTTCTTGATATCCGCGCCCACTTGCTTACAGCCTGACTTGTCAAATGCGAACACCTTCTGCTGTTCGCTCACGGCAAGGTCCCGCTGGCAGGGAAGTGCAGCTTGGTCAACGACTTCTTCACCCGCTAATGGGCTGCCTTCAAGATTTGTGACATAGGAAAGTGTAAGAGACTCGCCAGTTTTACATCGAATAAAGTAAAGCTTTTTCTCCAGCATGTAAGTGACCACACTGCCGCAATTATCAAACCTGCCTTCCGGCTTCAGATCAGTTCCATTAGCGACAAAACCCCGGCAGCTAAAAATTCATCAAACGATAAATCGCTGAAGGAAAAAGGACTGACTTATCACCAGCGTTCACTTGACCAGCCAGAATCAATTTTCCGCCATCTTCCACCATTTGAACTTGAATCCCAGTGATTGTGTCGTTGAAATCTTTGAGCTCGAAGTTGTAACTAACAATATAAAAAAAAGTAACATTTAACAAGGAAAGTACTTTTATGGGGGCTCCTACGAGACATACAGTTCAAAAAATTCGTCTGATCACGCTGATCAAGGATATGTAAATATTAGCTGTCCATTTTAGGTTTTTAGGGGTGAAAACTCCATCGTAAGTTGATTTAAAGTCCTATATAAGCCCCTTTTCGCTTAATTTTCACAGGTTTACAAACTTCATTTTAGCTTAAAATTATGTTTTTTTATTGAGGCGTAATAAATCAGTCTTGGCACAAAAGTTTATTTTTCAGACCTTCAACTTCAAAAAAGTTGATTCAGACCAAAAGGGGAATCGAACCCGTGCGGCATTCCCCCTCTTGGTTTCCAGACTGTGGCACTAGCCACTCCACGCTGTTCTCTTCCGGAAGAGACCGACCGCGCTTTTTATCGTTTGGCTTTTTTTCAATGCCTGCGCCTTTTGCTGACAAATCTAGGCAGCTTTTGAGCATTTTCGACCCTTAAACTCAAAAATGGGCATCTGATTTTTGTACAGGGTGGGCCACTAAAACCTTCCGTCTTCTTTTTCTAGATTTCTCCGCGGAGACTCCGCCGATTTTCATGAAATTTAGATTTTTCTGGAGCTGAGATGCGCCATTTTCAACCGGTTGAATTTGAAAAAAAAATATCCTGAATTGACCTTTCTATGCCTTTCCAAAGTTTTTGAAAATTATTTTCGAGCCGAAACCGCAAAAACTTAGGAAATTTTTGGAATGATTTTGAAAACTCGATCATTTTTTCGGGTTTTTGGGTGAAATCTTACTTGTTTTGCCTCATATATTCGCAAAATACTGTTGTAAATACTAATTTATTTAACAATTTGATTATTAATATTTCTATCTGAGTTTGGCGTGTCCACCTCCTCTTGCAGCACGAACTTGTAGGGGCTTTGAAAATTAAGAACAGCTCGAATTGCGGATCGTGGGCATGGTTTAACTTCAATCGAGCCTGGCTCCAAGCCTCAATGCGCCAAGCCATGGCTTGTAGCCTTAATGTGGACTTTTTCACTCTTGTTGAAAAAAATTTTTTTTTCAACATTCATACCCTAACGGTAATACAGACAACACTTTTTTTGCTTTTAACTTGCTTTAAACAAAGTTTAGAGAAAGCGTACGGAACTTTTTACTCCACGATTTTACCAAAAAAGCGCGAAATTTTCCAAGTCCGACAAAGTCAATTGAAAATCATTCCAAAAATTTTCAAAGTTTTAGCGGTTTCGGCTGGAAAATAATTTTCAAAAACTTTGGGAAGGCATAGCAAAGTCAATTCAAAATATTTTTTCCTGAAATTCAATCGGTTGAAAATGGCGCATCTCAGCTCCAGAAAAATCTAAATTTCATGAAAATCGGCGGAGTCTCCGCGGAGAAATCTAAAAAAAGAGGACGGAAGGTTTTAGTGGCCCACCCTGTATATTCTTGATCAGCACAATTTTTCGGACTTTTTGAGATATGTCCCGTCGAAAAGTAGGAGCCCCCCATAAAAGTACTTTCCTTGAAAAAAATTTGCGGTAAGGGCCGGGTTCCCGGCGCAGCCCGCCATTCAGTTCGCAGAGGGTGGACGAGCAACTCCGGGCAACATTTTTTGACGTTTGCACCGTGCAAAAGAGTCAGAGGGCGAGCGACAGCCCAAAAAAAGCGATTTGCACAATGCAGAAAGCAGCAAAACATGCAAAAAATCATTTTCGATTTCAGTCCGGCGACATGAACGGTGAGAAAGTTCCCTTTGCACTGCGCACTCTCTGCTCGCACAGTGCAAATGGCTCTTTTCGGATGTCGCTCACTCTGACTTCTTTCGCACGATGCAGGCTCAGCCCGACGACGTCTCGGGCGGACTGCCAGTGTACCCCTTCAAACTCACCTCTCGGTCGCCGTGTCCAATTCGTAGCGGAACTTCTGCACCTTCCCCCCGTCCATAGTCACCACATGGATGGTCGCCCTATCCGGCTGCAATTCCTGGTATATGGCGGTGCACCGTAGCAGAAACATCAACGCCTTCTGAATGAACACCTCAAGAGGCGTCATCGGAAATTTGTCGTCAAAATGTAAAAATTCAAACATTTTCTACCTTTCAGGGCGCCTACGCGCGCCCCTCTGCCTTTGCAATTTGAATGGAGGCTCTTTTCTGTCACAGTCCAGCAAAAAATTCTGCGGAACGGCTCCATTACGCTGTTCCAGCATCCACTGCAGGATAAGGGAAGCCTTTCTCCTGGACCTACGCCCCGTATCGTTCCATTTTGTGTTGACCCGAATTTTTTCCGAAGCTTTCACCGTGCAAAAAAGGGGAATTTATCGCACAGCGCGCGAGCTCCTTTCGCAAGGTAAATCTAAATTTCTTGTTTTTAACTATATACATCAACAGGACAATCACTACAAAAGTAAGTTAAATGAACCCTTTTTCTAAATATGCAACAATTTTGTGCATTACATAGGTTTATCCTTGCGAATCTTGACCTTGAAGTAGGTGTATAAATTTAGCTTAATGCTCTTCGTTTTTCTCTTCTTACGAAGTTTAAGGCGAGATTAGGTCTGGCTTTTTGTCCTACAAGACCTAAATGGACAATAAAACTTTCGGGGCTTTGGTAGTTCAGCCCCTCACGAAAAGTATTTAGCTCAAACCCCCAGTTACCGTCGAAATTCGTTTTTGTGGTTCAGGCAACGATGATCGTAGCCGAGAGAACCCAATCCCGAGTTGGCGCTTCAGATTGGATGAGGGGGTTTATACTGGGTCAAGGGGGGCTGAACTCGACTGGGTGGTTTTACTACCTTAGCCCCAAACTTTCTTTTGACATTCTTAACGTCATAACATTGATTTCCCCTTTCATTTTCGGTTTTGGCTTTTTTTCAGATTTTAGGTATGGAAAAATTTTGATGTAGGCCATAGATGCGTAATAATACTTAGCAAACCGTATTTCAAGGGTGCCTAGCTGATGTAAAGCACGTTCAGAACAATATAGGGGTGGTGCGATTTAAAATTTTTCGTCTTGATCTGCAAAAACCCCCAATTTCTCGAGTTTCAGGCAAGAATTTGCTGTCTGAAATTCAGACAACAATTTTTGATTTCTTGGCTGGTTTACAGTCAAAAAAAAGCGAGCAGTCAAGAAACGAAAGATTGCTGTCTGAATTTCAGCCAAGAATATCAAATTCTTGGCTGGAGGCCCTACAGCCAAGAAATCGGGGGTTTTTGCCAGTCAAGACGAGAAATTTTAAAGTACGTGTCTCACCAAGCCAGAAAATGTTTTTTCCTCCAACAGCTAAGTTTTTCGCGGCGGGACGCGCGCCCAATGGGCGTGCCACTAAAAATAAAAATATTTTTCCAAATAAAATTGATGTTGAACTGTAAAAATGATGTTTGAATGGAGTTTCCACCAGGTAAGTAAGATTTTATACCTATTTGAGCTGAAAATATTATAATTGTTCTTAGTTGTCCAATTTTTCCTTAGTTTTCGCAATATTACGTTATTTTGCGGACAGATCAAGATTGACAACGGAGAATTTCAGTTTTTTTTGGATATAAGGCGCGTGCGTTCTACTTTTCTTCGGACAGCCTCGCAGAAAACCCGCATTTCTTGTCTGTGGGCCCGCTAGACAAGAAATGCGCAATTCTTGGCTGAGCAGAGAAAAAAAGAAAAAAATCTTCACAGGGAGAGAGCAAAAAATTGCGCAATATTGCGCAATGTTACGCAATTTTAGACAAGAATTGCGCGTTTCTTGTCTAGCGGGCCCACAGACAAGAAATGCGGGTTTTCTGCGAGCAAGTCCGAAGAAAAGTAGAACGCACGCGCCTTATATAATTTCAGGAATACACGCAAAATGGGCCATCCCAACACCGGAATCTCCTCCAATGCCATGAACATCACGAACTCCTTCTCCAAAGGTGATTTTTTGGTATGTTGTTTTAGTTTATTATTCCATTATTTATTTAGATTTTAGGTAAATCTCTTCGTATTTATCGATGCTGAAGCCTCACGCCTCGTCCGGTACAACAATCGCCCCACCTTCTCTTCTGGCGAAATCCGGATTTCGTTCCGTGTGATTCTACCCGGAAAATTGATCATGAACGATGGTTCAACGCTCCCACTTCATCCATTACTGATCCCATACGGCCCTCTTTAGGGCCACATATTACGCTTATGTTATTTTGCTTTTATAAATAACTACTTTTGTTCGACTTTATCGTATTTATGGTGGTTTACATTTTGTTTTATAGACAGTTTCAGGTCCAAACCTTCATAAAAAACCTTCCTTCAGAAAGGATTTACATGCTCTGAAAATTTTGTATTGCAATCTACAAAAAAATCTTTATTTACGTTCAAAGCTTCAATATCAGAGAAATGTGGCCCTAAAGAGGGCCGTATGGGATCAGTAATGGATGAAGTGGGAGCGTTGAACCATCGTTCATGATCAATTCTCCGGGTAGAATCACACGGAACGAAATCCGGATTTCGCCAGAATAGAAGGTGGGGCGATTGTTGTACCGGACGAGGCGTGAGGCTTCAGCATCGATAAATACGAAGAGATTTACCTAAAATCTAAATAAATAATGGAATAATAAACTAAAACAACATACCAAAAAATCACCTTTGGAGAAGGAGTTCGTGATGTTCATGGCATTGGAGGAGATTCCGGTGTTGGGATGGCCCATTTTGCGTGTATTCCTGAAATTATATCCAAAAAAAACTGAAATTCTCCGTTGTCAATCTTGATCTGTCCGCAAAATAACGTAATATTGCGAAAACTAAGGAAAAATTGGACAACTAAGAACAATTATAATATTTTCAGCTCAAATAGGTATAAAATCTTACTTACCTGGTGGAAACTCCATTCAAACATCATTTTTACAGTTCAACATCAATTTTATTTGGAAAAATATTTTTATTTTTAGTGGCACGCCCATTGGGCGCGCGTCCCGCCGCGAAAAACTTAGCTGTTGGAGGAAAAAACATTCTCTGGCTTGGTGAGACACGTACTTTAAATCGCACCACCCCTATATGAGAGGTATTTGAGAGTTTTTTTAGATCTGCAATGTACTTGATCACTTACAATTAGACCCTAAAACATCTCAAATCCGGGTTTGAAACAAGAACGAAGATCGTTCAGCTAAATTTATTACCACAATGTCTAAATACGCAAGGATGAGGTTATGAAATGCAAAAAATTGCGAAATATTTAGAAAAAGGTTCATTTAACTTACTTTTCCTGTCGACGAATGTAGATAAAACACCTGTCCAATTTTCATGAAACCGAGTTGACCACCCAAGGAGAAAGACTTGGCTCATCCAGTAGCGGGTCCTCGAACAGCGCACGTCAAACTGAGGTGACCAGAATAGACACTTCGCTATCGATTTTTTTGCACTTTGTCCTGATTTCACAGAGAAGTCAGAGAAAAGACGCGCAAAAACGTACTCTCTCGCCTCAAAAAATCCCCATTTCTTCCCCGACCAAAAGTTTTTTCGCGCCTTCTTTCGGCGAATTGCCAACCTATTCACCGGACCGTTTTAGCCTATCTAAGTTTTGACGTGCAGCGTAATGGAGCCGTTCCGCAGATTTTTTTGCTGGACTATGAAAGACAGGAGCCTCAAATCAATCGGAAAGGCAGAAGGGCGCGCCTAGGCGCCCTGAAATGTAGAAAATGTTCGAATTTTTACATCTTGACGACCGATTTTTCTCAAAACGAAAAGAAATCTCGAATATTCGAAAAATTTGCATTTTTTTCTTCCAAAATTTGCATAAACCCTCACGAGGAGTCGACGTAGCCCCCTCTCCCACTCATTTCACTCAGTATCCAAACGTGTTGACTTTCGGTACGGCTGTGTTTCCAAACGTTGGTCCGTTGTCAAGGGCATCTCGCGTCAAGCAATGACGCGAGCGGAGTTCATCAAGAAAGCGTTGGCGTTCGCGCTGCAGTGCACCGCCATATACCAGGGACTGCAGCCGAATAACGCGACCTTCGATGTGGTGACCATGGATGCGGGAAAGGTGAAGAAGTTCCGCTACGAAGGGGAGACGGAGACCGAGAGGTGAGTTTGAAGGGGTAAACTGGCAGTCCGCCCGAGACGTCGCCGGGCTGGGCTTTAGCGTTTGCACTGTGCGAAAGAAGTCAGAGCGAGCGACATCCGAAAAGAGCCATTTGCACTGTGCGAGCAGAGAGTGCGCAGTGCAAAGGGAACTTTCTCACCGTTCATGTCGCCGGACTGGAATCGGAAATGATTTTTCTTGCGTGTTTTGCTGCTTTCTGCACCGTTCAAATCGTTTTTCTTTCGCGCGCACTACTAGTCGCGGAAAAAAGTCCTGGGAATTTCTCGCGCCCCCCATATTTCGTCGCGCTCCGAAAAGTTGATTTGTCGCGCGAATCGCGCGCGACAATAAGCCAAAATCAACAAAATTGCACTGTGCAAATGCACTTTTCGGGTTCATGCACAGTGCAGAATCGCAGAAAATTCCCAGGACTTTTTTCCGCGACTAGTATGACTTTTTTGCACGGTGCAAACCGCAAAAATGTTGCCTAGAGTTGCTCGTCCACCCTCTGCGAACTGAATGGCGTGGAACCCGGCCCTTAGCGCAAATTCTTTTAAATATGACTTTTTTTATTTAGTTCCAACTTCGAGCTCAAAGATTTCAACGACACAATCGATGGGATTCAAGCTCAAATGGTGGAAGATGGCGGAAAATTGATTCTGGCTGGTCAAGTGAACGCTGGTGATAAGTCAGTCCTTTTTTCCTTCAGCGATTTATCGTTTGATGAATTTTTAGATGCGGAGTTTTTGTCGCTGATGGGACTGATCTGAAGCCGATACACGGTTTCGGTTTATGCAAAGGAGCGGTTACTTACATGATGGATAAAAAGCTTTACCTGATTCGATGTAAAATTAACGCGGTTGATGCTGCAAATTCCTATATCGCAAATCTTGACGGCAGCCTAATAGCGGGTGAACAAGTCGTTGACCAAGCTGCACTTCCCTGCCAGAAGGACCTTGCCGTGAGCGAACAGCAGAAGGTGTTCGCATTTGACAAGTCAGGCTGTAAGAAAGTGGGCGCGGATATCAAGAAATGGACGGCCGCTTCCCGTGCGGATTGCGAAAAGAAGCAGATTGTTTTGACTGAAGGAACGGAGTCAGAGCTGTACTCCTTGGTGAGTTATAACAATTATTTCTATGATTTTTTACATCCTTGATTAGTAGGGACCGATTTGGGAAAACGGAAACTGGGGGAGAAAGATTTTTTTTTCGCTTTTTGGGCTAGTCGAAACCATAGTTCGCCCATCTTCACAAGAGCTACAGCTGTAGTCCCTTTCGGCCTGACATGCGCTTAGTTGACGCACCCAACATCTGAGACGGAGGTTAGATGTCGTTTTAGAAAGATTCCAAATTTTAGGCCCTTTGCGGAGATCTTTTCAAGGCCAATCAAGTGCATGGGTAGGTAAAAACGACAACTGGAGCGTTTGTAAGGGTGGAAGTATGGTTTTGGATAGCCAAAAAAGTGAAAAAAAAACCCAATTTCTTTTCTTTTCAGTACTACCTGTATCTGGTCTTCAAAGGTGACTGCCCCGAACAAGCCACGCCCCTCGCACAATATAAGACTGACTTGGTGAACACCTACGTCAAACTTGAGGCGGCGTTGGTGGAGACTTCGACGTAAGTTTTCGAACATTGAATTTTGAGGCTCGTCTTTTCGGGTCGACGATTCTTTGAGTCGCCTCGCACGTCAAACTGAGATTGGCTAGAACGGTGAATAGGTTGGCAATTCGCCGAAAAAGACGCGAAAAAACTTTTGGTCGGGGAAGAAATGGGGATTCTTTGGGGCGAGAGAGTACGTTTTTGCGCGTCTTTTCTCTGACTTCTCTGTGAAACCAAGAAAAAGTGCAAAAAAATCGATAGCGAAGAGTCTATTCCGGTCAGCGGACTTCTCAGTTTGACGTGCCTCGATTTGCCGTTGTATGCATGGTTAGGAGAGGGCAACCAAAGTAACAAGATTGATCGAGTCGTAGGAGAGACCTAGCAGATTCTGTGTCCACCCGAACTGTCGCAGACTCTGAACGCGTGTCTTTCTGGACCTTTATTTTAATTGTACAATGGTTTCAGCATTGCAAACGAAACAACGAGCGGTTTCATGGAATTCATTCACAACAACAGGATGGCAGTTATTTGTGGTAGCGTTGGTATTCTTGCGGCCCTTCTCTTCTTGCTGGGTGGTATTCTCCTTTGGTTATACGTAAGGTTTTCTACGTTTCTAAATCGTGTTTCACACAAATTCGCAACACACGTGCAACTTTTTTCAGCTCAGACACAGGGCACGGCAACCAAAGGAATATGTTCATATTCCAACAGGAAAAAGCCACTTGTTGAGCCCTTCGGTCGCACGGGGTTTTGGCGTGACGCAAGAGGGAGAACCCATCAAGGTCAAGCAACCTGACGGGATTCCCATTTCGGAGCGTGTCAAACTAGAAGATGAAAAGCTGAAAAAAAATCCACTACCGGCGCCAACACCAGAACCACCACTTCCAGACACACCACCTCCGCCGCCATCAGAAACCGCGCCACCTCCGGCTACACCACCTCCGCCGCCATCAGAAACCCCGCCACCTCCGGCTACACCAGCTCCGCCTCCGCCACCTCCGCCTCCGCCACCTCCGCCTCCGCCACCTCCGCCTCCGCCACCTCCGCCTCCGCCTCCGCCACCTCCGCCTCCGCCACCTCCGCCTCCGCCACCTCCGCCTCCGCCACCTCCGCCTCCGCCACCTCCGCCATCAAAGCCATAGTCCAGCATTATATTATAGGTATATTATTGTAGTCGGATAAAAATTTTTGTAGTTTATTTGCGTCCTGTGATATTCTCCATGTGATTTTGTGGATCGTCGGGTCGATTGAACCCCGAGATCTTGTTCACGGACTCCAATTTAATATTCCCACCGAATGGGCTGCTCAGCTTGGTGCAAAACCGGGCCCAAAAAGGCTCGAAGAGGACACTGGTGGGTCAGACTAAACCACCTGCAAGTTATTGCGGTCAGTTTGGAGGACAGTCCGGTCGTCAAGTTCGACATGTTCAAGGCGACGCTGGAACAGTGCAGCGCCGATTTGGTGGAATTTTAGTCGCAATTCAGCTCCTCCTCTACGCCCTGAAGAAGTTGTGGAATGTGGATGGCGAGGCGCTTTAGCCAAGGTCTTGTTATATTTTTCCGAAGCTTTCAAAATTTGTGCTCAAATAAGTTATAAAAAAACAAAAAATTGGGACTCCTTGATGTCCACTGTAATTCAGAAGCGATGACTTGAACTCTCAAACGTAATTCAATGTAAAAATCAAGGTTTTGACTCCGGTTTTGATCAAAATTATACAGGGTGCGGCAATTTTTCGGCCGGATTTTAATTGGCCATAACTTTTTTAGTTTTTGGGCAAATGTTAAAATTCTTTTTTTACCTGAATCCACAGACAACCCCATTTTGTTTAATACCAAATATGTTATACCCGTTCATTAGACTACAGTAAAAATTCGAGACAAAGAAAAAGCTCTAATTTTCATAGCTGACAATGGAATTACCCCTAGTGCGACTCTCAGATTTTCTTTAAATTTTGCACATGGGCCGGACATAGGTCACACATCAATTCCTAAAAGTTTCAGCCCGCACCTTTCAGGGGCGACCAAGATATTCAACGGTTCTTTGCGGTCAGGAGGGCACATGAGTGGTCACACAGAAAAACTTTTTGGCTGTATCTTCGCTAGTTTTGTGCGGAGATAGCTGCTTTTTTGTGGAAACGGTATTCTCCATGGCATGAACAGGCATGACAATTTTTACGACAAAATTCGTAAAAAAAGTCATTTTTTCTGGCGATTTTCACACACGCCGAAAAAGCAGAGAAAACGACCGAAATGCCAATAACTATGAACTAGGTCCCTGTATATATAACATATTTGTATTAAACAAAATGGGGTTGTCTGAGGATTCAGGGAAAAAAAGAATTTTAACATTCGGATACAAACTAAAAAAGTTACGGAGTTGGACGATTGGGGAAAAAGACGATTGGGGAAAGGGACGATTGGGGAAAAAGACGATTGGGGAAAAGTACGATTGGGGAAACCGAAAAGTATTATTTTTCTTCTATGCAAATGTCTAAATTAGGATAATCGAGGATGTTGATTTCGAAAATCATGTTCATTTTTTCTGAACTTTACTCGTTTTCCTTAAGTAGTACTGTAAAGTAGTAATTTTTGAATTTTTTCATAAATACTCGATTTTGGGGTTTTCGAGGATGCTGATTTCGAAAATCATGTTTATTTTTTCTGAACTTTACTAGTTTTCCTTAAGTAGTAGTGTTAAAAAGTAACTTTTTGAAATTTTTCTAAAAATACTGGATAAAGGGGTTTTCGAGGGTGCTGATTTCGAAAATGACATTCATTTTTTTGACTCTTACTTTTTTCCTTAAGTAGTACTGTAAAGTAGTAATTTTTGAATTTTTTTCATAAATACTCGATTTAGGGGTTTTCGAGGATGCTGATTTCGAAAGTCATGTTCATTTTTTCTGGTTGTTACTTTTTTCTTAAGTAGTACAGTTAAGTAGTATTTTTTTGAAAATTTTCCAAAAATACTGGATTTAGGGGTTTTCGAAGGTGCTGGTCTCGAAAATTATGTTAACTTTTCCTCTAGTACTAAATAGTACTACCTGATACTATGTAGTACGAGGTGTAAATTTGGCCTTTCGGTGTTAGTGGTGTTGTTCTGGTCCTACGTACCCCTATTTTCACCTCGCAGTACATAGTATCAGACAGTTTTCACTTTTTCGGAGCACTATTTAGTACTAGAGGAAAAGTTAACTTAATTTTCAAGACCAGCACCTTCGAAAACCCCTAAATCCAGTATTTTTGGAAAATTTTCAAATAAATACTACTTAACAGTACTACTTAAGAAAAAAGTAACAATCAGAAAAAATGAACATGACTTTCGAAATCAGCACCCTCGAAAACCCCTAAATCGAGTATTTATGAAAAAAATCAAAAATTACTACTTTACAGTACTACTTAAGGAAAAAAGTAAGAGTCAAAAAAATGAATGTCATTTTCGAAATCAGCACCCTCGAAAACCCCTTTATCCAGTATTTTTAGAAAAATTTCAAAAAGTTACTTTTTAACACTACTACTTAAGGAAAACTAGTAAAGTTCAGAAAAAATAAACATGATTTTCGAAATCAGCATCCTCGAAAACCCCAAAATCGAGTATTTATGAAAAAATTCAAAAATTACTACTTTACAGTACTACTTAAGGAAAACGAGTAAAGTTCAGAAAAAATGAACATGATTTTCGAAATCAACATCCTCGATTATCCTAATTTCGACATTTGCATAGAAGAAAAATAATACTTTTCGGTTTCCCCAATCGTACTTTTCCCCAATCGTCTTTTTCCCCAATCGTCCCAGTTCCAAAAAGTTATAGCCAATTCAAATCCGGCCGAAAAATTGCCGCACCCTGTATTGCACATGACGTTCTTTGGCGGCAAAATCAAATCGCTTCCCACTGCAGCTGCGCGATCGGCGCCATTTTCCGAACGGACTGTATTTTGAGGGCTTCACAAAATTCTTTTGATAAATTTCCGCAGAACTCTCGAAAAGCATCCAGTTTAGCGAATAACTAGTTTATTACTTGTACAGAAACGGAGTTAATAATCGAAGGGAAAAGAGAAAAAGTTGAGTGAAGTTAGTGCTGATATATTTGGGTTGTACAAGGAGAGGGATAGATAGACAAGACGTCAAACAAATCAGTGTTGAGAAACCCGCTTTAAGCGACTAGTGAGTGTCAGTAAGATTTTGGCAGTCCTTTTTCAAGCTCGAAATATTCAAACTTCCCAAAAAAAGGGCTAAATTTTTAAAAAAATCCCATTTTGAAAACCAAAATCTTACAGCTAGTTATAGAAAATAATGTCCATTTCATGTCTCCGAGTGAGATCTTGTCGAATACATTCAAATAATTTAGATAGTAACCTAATTACATTAATTTAGAACAAAAAAAAGCCTATTCTACACAAGCTCAAAAATAAAGTAAATTTACAGTAATCAAAAGATATAAAATATATAAAAATCATGTCGTTATGCTATCTACGAGGCATGAAGCTTCCGTTTGGATCTTGTTTGCATTGTTGGAGTGGTGGCCAGCGACGCGGCTTCGGCAGCTTTTCGACGGGTCACAATGGTGCCTAAAACAATATAAAAATCATAGAATCAGAAAAGATTAATAATAAAAAACATGATTTTGTATGATAAAATATCCTTTTTATTGCCTATTTTACCCCATAATACCCAAAAATCGGCGTAATTTTCAATTTTTTTGTCTCGCCACGAAAACCTGAGAAAGACCTAAAAAGTCAAAAAAATGAAGAAATCATATCCCAACTCATCTGAAATCATCCCACATAATTTTTTAGACACAACCATCCACTTCGTCTATACAAATTTTAGGTCCCACCACGAAATCCCTGAAAATCAGGGGAAATTTCCAAAATCGTTCTCAACCTTTCCCAATCCCTTCATAAATCAGTTTCAAGCCCTTACCTTCTCCCAATGGAATTGGTGAAGTGCAGCTGGACGTGCTTGGAGATTCCGTGAGACTGGTCGGTGTGATCGACTGCCTTTTCTTCGACTGCCTTGACGAAGTTCGCCGTTTCGGTTCGGGGAGTTGAATCGGGGGTTCTAATAAAGTGGGAGTCGACTTGTACGAGCGGTCCTCGTCGAACTGATCCAGCGTAGACTCTGTTGGTTCTGGATGGGGTTCAAACTTCATTTCCTTCAGCTCATCTGGGGTGGGATTCAGCTTGATCGGCGACGGAAGAGGCCTTTCTTTCGCTGGCGTCGTCGACAAAATTGTGTTCTGAGCCGCGCCGGCGCTATTTCTCGTCTGAACTTGGCCGGGATTTGCCAGATTTTCAGGTTTTATCGGCGTTTTCTCGTTTCTCGATGTTACCCTTGGGGTTCCACTCAAATTTCTGGGTTTTTCGCCGGTCGGTCCCGCTAATTTCGCTTCTGTTTTGATCTGAGCTTGCAGTTGGGATGTTGTTGATTTATTTTGGACCGAATTGGAGTGTGTTCGACTTCTTGCCTGAGGGGTTTCCGAGGACCTTCGGCTTTGGTCTCTGCTTTGATTCCCATTCGCCGATTGTGGATTCTGTTCTTTTGCTGGAGCCGACGGGGTCCTGGGCGAAATTTGTGACCGACTTTGGGTGCGGGATCTGGGTGAAGCCGGTAGCTAAACGAAAAAATATTATTATAGGCTATTTTGAACCAAAAATTTGAAAATTTTCCAAAACTTGTAGAAATTTTTTAGTTTTTCTTTGTTCCAAATGCTATGAAACGAAGCATTTGCTACTCTTTACATCCTAGACCTTATATCACGTCGAATAAGACTCTCGTTGAACATCAAATCACCTTGTTTTAGACACCTTCTCCTGCTAACTCCACAAAAAACAAAAAAAAAATTAAAATCTACCCCTGCCAAATGCCATGTCCTGTCAAAAAATCTACATGACTCTATTTGAGGGAGTGTAGGCACAATACTGACTTCGAATCACCTAATTTTAAGCTTTTTTATCACAAGGAAAGTGCTTCTATGGGATATGAAGTTACAGGTCGAGAGATATGGCAAAAAAATCGCAAAATTTTTCTGATTCAGAATATGTAAAAATTAGCTGCCTAATTTTGGTTTGTAAGGGTGAAAAAATCCTCAGAACTTTTCTCGCAACACCACGCAAATGCTTTTTTGACCAAGTTTTTACCAAATCAAAAGCTTTGTTTCGAGATAAAGTAAGCCCTGGAATTTTGACAAGCTTTGATTAATTTTTACATTGGAACTACTAACTAAGGTGTAGTATTAATAAAATTTGATATTTTACGGCTTGTCAAGATGCCAGGCTTTACTTTAGCTCCACTCAAAGCTTTTGATTTGGTAAAAACTTGGTCAAAAAGGCATTTGCGTGGTGTTGCGAGGAAAGTTCCGATGATTTTTTCACCCATACAAACCAAAATTTCAGCTAATTTTTACATATTCTGAATCAGAAAAATTTTGTGATTTTTTTGATATATGTCTCGACCTGTAACTCCATACCCCACAGAAGCACTTTCCTTGGGATAAAAAAAGCTTAAAATTAGGTGATTCGGAGTCAGTATTGTGTCTACACTCCCTCAAATAGAGTCATGTAGATTTTTTGACAGGGCATGGCATTTGGCAGGGGTAAATTTTAAATTTTTTTTATTTTTGTGGAGTTAGAAGGGGAAGGTGTCTAAAACAAGGTGATTTGATGTTCAACGAGAGTCTTATTCGACGTGACATAAGGTGTAGGATATAATGAGTACCAAATGCTTCGTTTCATGAAGGCAACTCCATACCCCATAGAAGTACTTTTTTAAATCAAAATTCCAAAATCATTTGGCTTCAAAAATGCTCAACGCCTTGCAAAACCTCACCTCCGACTGGCTTTGCCGCTTCAGTCTGGCCGAGAATCTCGTCCTCACACTATCATTCGATCCCGGCGTTGTTTTCTCCGCCTCTTCCGAGCGTCTTTGGGGGCTTTCTTCGGCTCTGTTGTACCTCTCCATTGGGATAAAATTCTGCAATAAATTCGGTTCCACTTCAGCGGTGGGCTCGAGTTCGGTGGGAGACAGAAAGATCTGGTCCGTGGGCCAGTTATTCAAGTTTTTGGGGCTGGCGAGGTCCGCCGACAAGTCCGGCGATGTTGCACTTGGCTGGGAGGCCGAGGAGAGCCGGCGATTTGCTGAATTTGGTCCCCGTTCCAGTCGATTGTCCCTCTCCTGATCCGCATGGGCAAAGTTCGTGTCCACCGTGAGGGGTTCGAGCTTTTTCAGGCGTTTCTTCTTCGCCGGTTGCGGCGATTCCTCCGATAATTGTTCGGGATTCGGGCGTTTCCTGGGCTTCGGGGCTCTTTTCCCTTTTCCGGTCTTTCCCTCGGACTGTGGGCGAGCTGTGCCATTTCCTTGACGGGCTGGTGCGGCTTGTTGAGGGCTTTGGAGTTGAAATTTTGAGGGATTTCCGCCTGAAAATCAGAAAAATTCCAAAATCGCCAAAATTAAAAATTTTTTTTTGTTTTAAACTTCCCGTTTTCTCATTCTAAAATCTCACATTCCCCATTTGTCTCCAAAATCATGCTTTTTTTACATTCTTTATCCAAAAATCCCCAAAAACCTCCGTATTTTAGCCAATAACTACCTAAATTAATATAATTTTGGTCATAAAACCTCCAAATCTGCCGGTAGTTCACCCATAACTCCCCCAAAATCCCTCTTTCCATCTAAATTTTCCCCTTCTCACCTGTTCCAGCGTCTCCAAACTCTCCTTGTCCTTCAATTCCAACTTTTTGGGTGCCAAGTCCATTTCCAGAAATTCCGCGGATCCCCGGACTGGCCATTTCCTGTTTCACCGTCAAACTTCTTGGATCAAAGGTTGGGCGAGTGTCCAAATGAAGGGGATATGTGAAGGAATTGTTGGTCGAGGAGTCCGGCTCCGCTTGGAATGGGAGATTGTTGAGTCCGGACTGTTCGGCCGCTTCCAGCTTCGCTTTCAGCGCGCGGGCTTTTCGTTCATGCGTCTGCATTCGACGAATTCTCTTCCTTTCGCAATGGCGAACCTCTTTTGCGACCAATCTGGAAAAATTTTATATTACTTTAGGTACAAATTCTGGCCAAAAAACGCCAAACTTTCAATTTTTCCAATCCAAAATGCGATTATAAATAAATTTCGGACAAAAAATCATCTTGCTACACCTTAATTTAGCCAAAAAAAACTTATTTTTTCACTTTTTATTACCTAAATTTACCTTATTTATGGCAAAAAATGATAATTTCAGCTGAAAACTACCGAATCCTCCTCCTTTTTAGGTAACACTACATCTCATTCATTCTTATTCAGCCAAAATACGCCTAATTTCACCCGCTAAACACAAAAAATCTCCAAATTTTACCTTATTTTAGGCAAAAAAGTAAAAAAATTGGTCTCAAATCAAAAAATCATAAAAACTTTATTTGTCCTAACTAAATTCAGCTTTATACTTCCCTCTTCCCTCTAAAACCATCTTGACTTTAATTTAAAACTCAAAAAAAAAAATTTCAAATTTTACCTTATTTTAGCCAACAACTCTAAAATTTCATATTTTTCCCCCAAAAAATCGCTCTATCAATCTTCTCCTTCCTAAAATCCAATCTCAAAAAATCCAAAATTCTTACTTTCTCTGTTCCGTGACCACATCAATTTGTGTTTTGACCCTGGATACCTCATCCGCAAGGGCCGTGTTGGTGAACACCAGGGCTCGGACCATTTTTCTCAGCTGCATATATCTGACCAGATATTGATGATTTTCGCGGGCCTGCTTCCACTCATGCTCTCTTTGTTTCAAAAACTTCTGTCGCTGAATTTCGGCGCGATGCGCGGCGGTGCGGACCCTCTTCGGCGGGAGTTTTTTGCCCTGTTCTTGGGTTAGGACCGCCTCCAGCTCGCCGTGGGGTTCTTCTCTGGTGGAGCTGGGGGTTCGTGAGCCGGCCGAGCCATGTTGGCTGGCGTCGTGGGCCGAGCCTTGGCTTCCTTGGCTGTTATAATCCATGTTGGCCAAGCTGGCGTCGTCGGCGAATCCGGGGGTGGCGCGGTCCATGGCCAATTCTTGATCGTCCAATTCTTGGCCGTACTGGCCAACTTGAGGATGGCCATACGGAGAGTTGGGCAAACCATGACTTCCAAACGGTGGTGCTCTGTATTCTACGGGGCTAGCGGCTGGTCCGGGATGGTATCCCGAGCCGTGTGGGCCCGTGACTTGAGCCTGACCGGGCGTCGAACATATCCCATGCGATCCCGAGTAAGTTGGGCCTGTTTGAACGGAGCCGGTTTGGGAAGTGTAGGCTGGGGCCATGGGTCCGGAGACCGGTAATCCAGGTGGTATTGGGGTTACTGGGCTGGACCCTGATGAGATTTGGCCTTGATTGTTGGGCATTCCCACACTATTGTATCCATTCGGTCCATGGAAATTTGGACTTGGAATGGGGCTCTGCATTTGGGCCGGGCCTGGACTTTGGCCCATTCCAGGGGCCGTTGGAGGCGCGTTCGTTAAGATCTGGGAGGATTGGGCTGGTCGGATCTCCGTGGCCGCTGCTTTGGCCGCTAAGACACTTGGAGCTCGGTCAACTTTGGGTGGGGGCATTAGGCTGGCCGAGTCGTCTAGATCGCCGGAGGGTTGAACAATTTCCTCAATAGGGCGTTGGTCCAAATTCTGAGGCTGTGGATAGGTTCCGTTGGCATTCTGGACCGGCTGTCGAGTGATCTGACCGTTGTGGATTTGAATTCGTTCATGTGGATTGGCGAGCATTGGATTGGTGGCTATTCCATTCTGCGCAGCTTGCGCCTCCAATGCCGCCGCTTCTCTGGCCGCCTTCTCAGCCTATAAATCAAATATCATATAGCTAAAAATATGATATATATGAAATTTTAGGCCAAAACGTCTACTACAATATGAAAATTTTCAAAAAAATCAAAAAAAAAATTATTTTTTTTTTGAAAAGTTTCTATGCCTAAAACAATATCCGAATCACTCACTCTCAGTTGCGCTGCACTTTTTCGTATCCTCTTGGGCTTTGGTTTCGGTTCTCCATTATCATTTTCGGCCTTCTTCTTCCCCTTTTTCGGCGACGAAGTTTTTGGTCGATTCGGTGGATCTTCCGGTCGCAAAGCGCCGTTTTCATAATTCTGAGGGTCGACCACGGTGTGCACCACGGTTTGAGGTTGTCCGTTGGGGCCGGTCGAATGATAAACTACTTGTTGTGGGCCGGCTAAGCGGCTCGGTCCTGGTGGGTAATTCGGGTCGTATGGTGGGGGTCCTAAAACAATATTGAATATCAAAAAGAGGTGTAAAAAGTGAGTATTAAACTTCCTGTGACTATTACAATATCAAAAAGCACATTAATTGCGAAAAAATATCGAAAAAACGAACATCGCTTTTTGCCGAAAATTCTCAAAAAATCTTGGATAATTTGTAGGGTAAAAAAGCCAAGAAATTATCCACAAACTTTCGTCAACTTTTTTATCCCACGATAATGTCAAAAACGATACGTTACGCCCTCCGCATACCCAGTCCAGCCTCAGGACCTTCTAACCTACCTTGATGAACATTATACGGTACTTCAGATCCAATAAAATTTCCTTGTGGGTCGTAAAATTGATCTTGTGGATATTCCGGAAATTCCGGGAAATTTTCCGGCTGAAACGTCTCCAGCTGCTGATAAGTTGGATCTGGGACCGGCGACTGCGGGTAGTATTGGTTTAATGGAGCCGGTGGGAGATATTGATCGAATTCATTCGACATATGGCCCTCAAAATCATGTTCAAATGGCTCTGAATGATGGTTTGATGGATGACTTGACGGCCGGTCGGGATCAAAATTGTTCGGAACAGACTTGGGGCCATTTGGGGGGTAGTAGGGCTGGTGATCCGAGGGCGGTGGGACGGACAAGGGTTGCTGAAGCGGGGGCAAGGTCCTTTGGCTGGATCTGAATGTAAAATAATATAATGAATCAGTGCACCAAATGCTAAAAATAGCAGAAAATTCTTGTGAAACTCTAAAATGTCTCCAAAGCGATTTTAGAGAGCTGAAGTGTAAATGGCCGGACTTTTGGGACGATATCCATGACTTACATGGTATGCCTTCGTTTATCAATTGGAGCGGCTTTATGCGCGAGCGGTCGTGAGAGCTGTTGCCGCAGAGTACTATCTCCTTGAGGATGGGGCGGACCCGGTCTAAACACCAAAATAACGAACAAAAATCTCGCTTACCTTGGAGGTGGTTTCCTTGGAAAATTTTGCGGCCTTGGCCCAAAATTCGATGTTATTGGCAGCGATTCGGCTGGAGGAAGACGACCCGACTGATAATGAGGCTAAAACATCAAAAATTAGGCGTCAACCCCTAAAAGTGAACAAGAAAAAATATTCTCCTTCAACTCCCTACCGGATAATAAGGTTGATTTGCATATTGCCCATAAGCCGCGGGGCTGGCCTGGTCGGCCATTGGCGTCGACGGCTTTGTAGAGCCTGCGGATTGATTTGTAAAGCTCGCTGGACTCATTGATTCATATGAAGGAGATGCCACCTAAAATTATATAACACATGAGATAGTCCAAAAATTTCTTACTGGATCGCCAACAGACGCCGGATTTAGAAAAACTGGAGTTCCCGGTTCAGTTAGACTCTGGTAATGTCCTGGAGTGCCAATGTAGGGGGATGGAGGTGCCATCTGAGGCGACGTCGGCGGCAGATGCCTGTTATACGAATTTCCATTTGTGGGTGGAGAGAGGAGCTCGGATGCCGGTGGAAGGCCTCCAGAACTACTGGAAGGGGCCGAGTTTGCCCCAAACATTGGGCCGATTTCAAGGTCGTCTTGTAAGTTTAGCACTAAAAATTGGAGATTTTAGGGAAAGCAGTGCATGAAGGATAAGATGAGCTCAAAGAAAGGGAAAACTACAAATTTACCGAATTTTATCTGTACAAAATGCAAAAATAGAACTTAAACTTTAAGAAAACAATTGGGTTTTAGCTATTCGAAGCGAACGCTTCAACTCAGAAGCAATTTTTCTATCGGATGTCAACTTCAATGTCAAGTGTGAGATAAATTGAAATTCTTCCACATTTGCCCCTAAAATCCAATAAAAACAAAACAAATTACTTACCAATATCGTTCAAAACCTATTTGAGAATATTCACAATCAAAATATTGATAAAAATACTAATAAATTCACAAACATCAAGCGTCCATGGTTATCCTGTAAAGAAGCCAAAGTTATCCTTTATTTACTCGCAAAAAAAAAACAAAAAGTACATTTTATCACGAGTAAATAAGGTAGAGAGTTAAACAGAGCACAACGAATATCAAAAGTCCTCATTTTTGGAGGAAACGAAAATTTTCAAAGATTTTAGGTAATAAATTGAACCTTTTTATCGCAACCGGCTCAAATTCCAAATAAAACCATGAGATCCGTGCTATTTTCTGCGTGAATACATCCGTCCAGTGCCCGACACAATATTATAGTGCCAAATTCGGCGGCGACTCTCATTGCAATGCCAAACGCGCGCCAAATTTGAAAGCTCCAGCTGTCGGGGAAAATAATTTTTGCATTTCCCACGACAACCTTCAAAACAGCGTAATTAATGCTCGAGCAAGTAGGAAAAACTGATCTACCACGCCATCGACGTCATTTTTTGAGAGAAAGCGGCCGAAAAATGGTAAAAAAAACAATTTTGTGGAATTCCAATAGCGTTGGGACGAAGTGTCAAAAACCCAATAATTCCGTGACATTTCGTCCAATGCTGTTTTTTGTCGGTTATTTTTGTGGAAAACGCGGAAATTGAAGACAGAAGTGTAAGATCACATTGAAATGGTAAGGTTTTTGCAGTTTTTCTTTCTTTAATTCTCTTCGGAATGGTCTGAGATTAGATTATTTGGTCTAGTGTAATTTTTTTTAGAATAAATGCATTTTGTTAGCCTAAAAGCCTCTTGAAAAAACTTGTATGGCTGCTAAAATTAATTTTTCAGTATTTCAGCCGGTCTACGAGCTGCAGTTGAAGGCCACCTTGGAGAATGTGACAAATCTTCAAGTTGATGATCCCGAAACTTTTGATTGGGGATTGAAGTTCAAATGTGGCTCATGCCGCGAAGTTTCGGAACGGGTGAGATATGTGTGTGCCAAAGATGTTGTTGAGATACCGAACTCGCGAGGAACAGCGAATTATGTGGAGAAATGCGGGTTCTGCAATAAAACTGCGACTGTCAGTAAGTTTTTTGATTCTTTGGTTGTTGAAGTTTAGATATTGAAGAGGCAAGACTGAATATCGCAAAGAAAATGATTGGACAAGCTTTTGGCTGTTTTTATCTCGGAACATTTACGAGCTGCAGTTTCTATGAGCCGTTATAGCGATACTACTTTACTCATCAAAATTATTCCCCAATTTTTTGCCTTTTCTTTCGTTACTCTCTAAAATACAGCTTCCAGATATTGTCCCGGACTCCATTAAAGCGGTAAAGGAGTCAGATGAATTCACAACCATTTGCAAGTTTGAAACTCGCGGAACAGAGCCGGTGGAGTTCGAAATCTCCGGGCAATGGAGATGCGAAGGTACTGAATCTGGAACAAAATTTTCTGAGGTTGATTTGAGCGATGTGAGTTGGCTTTTAAATGCTGTTATCTGATCTTATCTTGTCTCTCATGCCTTCTAAAATTTATTTGTCAACACTTTTATTTTTTTTTACTTATTCCATTTTTTAGGCTTGGGCTGACTTTGACGAAAAAGCTGATGCTCCAGTGACGATAATGGATGTGGAATCGCGATTCAAATAAAGTTTTATTTCGTTTTGAATAGTTTGTAGTAATTTTATTCGAATTATGGGTATTTATAAAATTTCCGAGAATAAATTTATATTACTTTAGATACTTGATAATTTTTATGTCATATTTTTGATATGTCATCAGACTTATGTAATATTTGTTGTTTTTTTGTTTTCACAGAGTGTACTCGTTTATTCTAGATAGATTTTTTTCAGAAAAAATATAAATTTTATATTACTTTAGGTTCAGATGGCGCCGAGTCGCCGGCCCCCTCCCAAAGATGCATTTGCCTCTCAAAAGGTAACCCCGAAGCCAGTGAAGAAGGAGAGGAAGGTTGTTGCTGAGAATTTTAGTGTTGGCGAGAAGATTTTATGTCTTCATGTCGCCAGCGCCATCCATTATGAAGCCAAAATTATTGATGAATCAAAGGATCCCCCGTCATTCCGAGTCCATTATCAGGTAAGTTTTTTTTTGAAATTGTTGATTTTGTCTTTAGGGCTGGAACAAACGATATGATGAGGACGTTACATACGATGATGTACCTTTCCGCTTCAATTTTTATTCAGATTCGTCGGCTGCGGAAGCTAAAGTAAGTTGAAGATGGATTGATTGAGGATTTTGATGTGATTTGGAAAGCGAATTACGCCCATTAGTACCATATTTTTTGGGTTAACAACGATTTTTTCCCCGAAGAACCCGATTTTTATCCTACTTTTTCATTTTCAGGAAGCTCAACGTACTGCAATGCAAAATTCAAGCAGAAAGCGGGCTCGTCGAGACCGCGAAAGAGCCGAACGCGATCGGACTGGCACTCCAGCAACGTCTCAAGCCGGCTCCGGCCTCGATTTCCCTGGAACTGCCACTTCTTCAAGGTCGACGACTCCGGATTTTCGTCGAAAGCATCGTGCTGGAAGCTATCAGAGCTCCGAAAATATCCCTCCGAGAAAAGCACCAAAGCCTAGAAGGTAGGGATTACTGTAATGGAAGGTTGAATTTGGATTTGAAAAGGAAAAAAATGATTTTTTTACATTTTGGGTCAAAAATGGTGATTTTTTCGAATTTTTGGGGGAAAATATCGAATTTCATGTGTGTTTTCTGTAATGATGTATATCAAAAGTTAGTATGTTGTAGGAGCTGTCTAATTAGGGCTATTTCGATCAGAGTAAACGAGATTTTTCGGTTGAAATGAGCCTTTCTATATCAGATGTCTAGTACAATATAAAAATTTGAAAAAAGTGGTGTTAGGCATGTAGAGCTTCCTGAGAGTGCTCTAAATATGCGAGCCAATGATTTTAGAGTCATATTTTACCATTTTTATTTCAGATCCGACTCAAACAAATTGGATGGCGACGTCGTTACCATCTTCACCCAGCCCCCGCCAAACCTGGTGGAAGTCCTGGTCACGGATAAACGAAAGATCCTCGAAGGCTTCATGGTGAAGGTCCCCGAAGAATACACCGTCGACCATATCGTTGATTTGTATGTGGAGAAGATCAATAATGAAAGTCAGCATGTCAACGCGGATATGTTCATCGAATACGATAATGTTGTCACATTAGAGCACACTACGGCCGAAATGCAAAAACATATCGCGTATTTCATCAAGGACCTTTTTAATCATATCCTGAAGACTAGTTTATTATACGGACCGGAGAAAAAGGTGAGGATTTTCGAGATTTTTTGGAATTTTTTGAAATTTAGGTGTGAGTAACGGAATTTTTTGACGATTTGAGTGGAATATGGGTTTTAGAGAGTGAGAAAAGGTACTATAAAGTAATTTGGAGGTATACAAATTGGCTGAGACATAAAAAATTTATTTATTTTTTTCATTAAAAATTGTCATGGATAAGATAATTTTTGGAAGTTTATTTTAAAATTTTTTCTTGTACGGCCGAAAAATAGTGTCAATTAGATATTTTAGCGTATGATCTTGTGGTTCAGAAACTAAAAAAAATAAATTAAAAAATTTTTTTTCCGAAAAATGTCATGGGTAATATAATTTTTGTAGGACGAGCTTTTCACTGTCCGCATTCATTCTTTTCGCTGTCCGCAAATCGACTTCTCACTGTCCGCAATTGAGAATTTTTTTCTGTCCGCACTTCTACTGTCCGCAAATAAAATTTTTGATGTCCGCATTCAAAACAACTTGTTCTAAGCACCTGGCAAGGCCTTTTCTCGATACTTCTGACTGCCACATTACACTTGACATCAATATTATTCAAAATTCGAGGTGTGATGTTGCACTTGATACCAATAATATTCAAAAGTTAGGGCTGTGATATTGCAGTGGGTATCAATATTATGTTTGGGGTGGGATTGGACTGAGATACTACTGAAATGTGATTTACAGGATTTTTAGAGCATGTCTGGTAATTTTTGGGGCCAATGGTGCCCCTCTCTTTTTTTTAACAAAATTTTTTTATTTGCGGACAGTGAGAATCTCCGTGACTTTTCACTGTCCGCAAATGAAATTCTTGGCCAAATGGTCATGTTTGGGGCGGTTTTAGGCCAAGATGATTCTGGAATGTGATTTACAGGATTTTTAGAGCATGTCTGTTCATTTTTGGGGCCAATGGTGCCCCTCTCTTTTTTTTTAACAAAATTTTTTTATTTGCGGACAGTGAAAAGTCACGGAGATTCTCACTGTCCGCAAATAAAAAAATTTTGTTAAAAAAAAGAGAGGGGCACCATTGGCCCCAAAAATTACCAGACATGCTCTAAAAATCCTGTAAATCACATTACAGTAGTATGCAAGATCACATCCCAATTTTGAATATTATTGATATCAAGTGCAATATGGCAACCTTAATTTTAAATAATATTGATACCCACTGCAATATCACAGCCCTAACTTTTGAATATTATTGGTATCAAGTGCAACATCACACCTCGAATTTTGAATAATATTGATGTCAAGTGTAATGTGGCAGTCAGAAGTATCGAGAAAAGGCCTTGCCAGGTGCTTAGAACAAGTTGTTTTGAATGCGGACATCAAAAATTTTATTTGCGGACAGTAGAAGTGCGGACAGAAAAAAATTCTCAATTGCGGACAGTGAGAAGTCGATTTGCGGACAGCGAAAAGACGAAATGCGGACAACAAAAAATAGTTCCATTTTTGTATAATTTTTATGCCGAATCTTTACTGATGTTTTTTCGTGTTAAGACTTTATATTTAGTCTAGACGTACAGTGACAGACCTGATCCAGTGGCAAAAAACGTACCATTTTGCATCCGGGAAGCATTAAAAACGTGGCAAAATGCTTCCCTCTCCAAGTGAAAAAACTTAGTTTTGAAGGGCCCACCTTTTTTCCTCACAAAAAGAGCAGGCTTTTGAAATCTGAGTTTTTCACTTGGTGAGGGAGGTATTTTGCCACATTTTTTATGCTTCCTGGATGCAAAACGGTACGTTTTTTGCCACTCTATCAGGTCCCCCACTGTATTTTAACAATATATACCATATTTATCGCTTACCTGCCCATTTTTCAGGAGCATGACCGCCGTCTTACCGTTATCCTCGCCGCTAAAGAAGTCCGATCCGCGGAGAAAAAGAACCGTCGAAAGCGATCGGAAAGCGAATCCTCACAATCTCAAGCCAGCGAAATTGAAGAAGTAGGTTATTTTTATATTGTACTTGATATAGTTTAGACACACAAATGACGTTTTGAAATCCTGATTTTTGCTTCCAGGAACCCCCGAAATTCAGCAGTTACTACGGCGCTGTGCATTTACTACGAATGATGGCCAGATTTATGGATTATATCCCACAATTGAGCGCCTCTCCGAACAGCTTGGAACTTGGTCTGGCGACGGCTCAAGATTTCATGGTTTTCCTATCCAAAAACATGGAAGACTTTGTGAATCTCGAAACTGATTATGTGGAAATGGTTACGAAGTAGTTTGGGAAGGGTTATTTGGTTTTGTTTCGATATAACAAACAAGTTATAGGCAAAAAGTTGGATTTTAGGTATAAAATTTGGGAAATTGTCTGATTTCTCTTGGAAAATTGATGGCTGGAATAAGGAAAAGGCGTTTTTGCGGATCTTTATTGATTGTCCTTGCTGTTTGTTATATTTAAGTGTTTTTTACTTTAGTTTTACATTAAATTCGCCACCTTTAATTATAATTTATGTAGTATAAACCCTAATTATTCAGTTTTTGGTTTATTTTTTGTGGATTTAAATCCAAGAGCATGTGAATTATTTAATTTGCAGTTCGAAATGGCTCTTACAGTGGGGGACCTGATCCAGTGGCAGAAAACGTAAAATTTTGCATCCGGGAAGTATCAAAAATGTGGCAAAATGCTTCCCTCTCCAAGGGAATAAACTCAGATTTCAAAAACTCTTTTTGTGAGAGAAAAAGTGCGAGAGAAAAAGTGCGCGCTTCAAAACGAAGTTTTTTCATTTGGAGAGGGAGGCCTTTTGCCACATTTTTTACTTCCCGGATGCAAAATGGTACGCTTTTTGCCGGTGGATCTGGTCCGTCATTGTATGTGCTACGTATCAAATGCATGTTAAATTTTCGACACAAAAACAGCAGTTTTTTCTCCGCAGCGCAAGCTTACATTGGTATCTTGACAAGCCTCAAACTCGTCTGTAATTCACTAGCAACTATAACCCACCATTGTAAACAGTAAAACACGTACCATTTTGCATCCAGGAAGCATTAAAAAATATGGCAAAATACCTCCCTCTCCAAGTTAAAAAAACTCAGATTCAAAAGCGCGCCCGTTCTTTTTTGTGAGGGAGCCCTTCAAAACGAAGTTTTTTCACTTGGAGAGGGAAGCATTTTGCCACATTTTTGATCCTTCCCGGATGCAAAATGGTACGTTTTTTGCCACTGGATCAGGTCCCCCACTGTAACTTTCGGTTCAAAATGGCTCTTACGAGGGATGTGCAAAACCGCGCACCCTGGTTTTTTCTTGAGACATACACCATTTGAAAGAGCGTAAAAAACTGGTCTAGGATCACATTTTATTGGCTGCTATTTTTGCTCTACGCCTTAGCTAGAGAGCACTCTTTAGTTCTAGGCTTATCTCACCCTTTTTCCGAGGAAACAAATCTGAACGGTTTCCAAAGCAGAGCGCAGCAGTGCTTCGGTGGCCTAGTGGGGTAAGGCGCTGAACGAGGCGAACCTGCGGACCGGGTTCGAAACCTCTTTTGACTTTTTTTTCTTTTTTTCAATATTACAAACCAAGTAAGGTCTGGAAGTGGTGTTTGAGTTCCGAGGATATTTGTGGTATAATGAGAGCCGTTTTTTAAAAAAAAACGGAGATTTTTTTATTCTTTCGAATTTGTAGTCCTTGCCCTTGAAGTGGCAACTAGTGGGTATCTTCTATGGCTGAAACTTTCCACGACTTCCAGATTTTTAAGAGTAAAGCCGGGTAACCGAAAGTACGTGAAAATTGAGTCTGAAAACGGTTTACATGTTTTCTACCCGCTATGTTGCATTGGGTTACACGACCTAAAAGATCGCGTGATCACACGTTGTGAGCATCGACTTGGGTATCTCAAGGTCGGAAAAAAGTATTTATTTTTTGGCATAGGGTGAAGCGTTGGACGTCATAGGTACTATGAGACATATGAAAATAAATTCTTCAATCTCTTTAGCCCCTCAGCAGCAAAGAGTCGTGAAATCCAACTAGGATTTTTTAAAAAATGCTCGCTAGCTAGGGCGTAAAGCAAAAATAGCAGCTAATAAAAGGTGATCCTAGACCAGTTTTTTACACTCTTTCAAATGGTATATGTTTCAAGAAAAAACCAGGATGCGAGCTTTTGCCGATCCCTTGTTAGTAAGTGGAAAAACACTCCAAGTTTAATGTTTCAACCATTTATTTAAATCGTTTTTTTTCTTCAAAATATCCGGAAAATATTCTGAATTATTAGAATTAGCCGGTAATATTATTAAATTTAACAATAACAAAGAGAGGGGTTTTTTGGACAGCAAATAGCACGAGCATTAGGAATCATTCGAATAAATTTGAATCTTCAGGTCGGAGTTGGCAAAAAATGGAAAAATTTTGGGGAAATTCGCGATTTTTCTGCAATTTCTGAAGGAAATTTGAGAGAATTTTTATAGTAAATCATTTGAAATTTCATGTAGTTAAATTCCAGACCGTATTTTACCTCGAAAATTTGGATTTTTCGAAAAAAACCTCCAATTTTCGGTCAAAAATCGCAGAAAAAAACGAATTGCAAAATTCCAAGACAACAATTCTCACAATTCCAGCTGTACCAACCGTGGTGTCAAACAAAGAAAAAAAAGAATTACCGATAAGATCATTAGACAGTGCAAATTGGGATTTTTTCTACGGCCCGAAGCCATTACTCGTTGAGAGAAATTTAAAGTAAAAACAATATGTGCCTACGAATTACCGTATGGGGAGGCGACCTCGTTTCGTATTTGTACATGTGGGGTCATATCTACAGCTATATACATCTATTCGGTTCTCCATTTATATATCTATGATAATGTGTCTTTGAAGGTAAAAATTAAATGATGACTGTGTCTACAGCACTTCGCAAGCACTCTACAGTGCTCTTGGTTGCTCTACGTTAGTCTACGATGGTTACTCGTTACAAAAATTACCGTAATTTAGCGATAAAACTAGAAAATTTACCAAAAACTCGAGGGAAAATGCGGATTTTACCCAAAAATTTGTGATTTGTACTAATATATCTAAAATTTCTACCACCATCACCTATAAATCGTCTGCGGGATGACTTGAAGTGTCTCGGAAAGGAGTCAAGACAAGACTTTCGGGGTGGAATTAGACTTTATTTAGACATTACACCAAAATAAAGACAAATTACTCTTAAACAGGACCTAATAAGAAACGAAACAGGAGAATAGACAGCATAAGAATGGGAGAGAGAACCGTTTCATACGAAAATCTAACCGTTTTACAAAAGAAAACTGCGGAAATCTCGGATTCTGATCAAATTTTGACCAAATTTTGGGATTTTTTTCGAATTTTTGTCGTATTTTAGCAAGTAGACCATTTTTTGACAAAAATACCCAATAATAATCAAAATCAGACCAAATCCAAAGCTCCGACAAGATAACCGTAATAAGCATTAAGATCAATTATGTACAGGATCAACAAAAGTAATATACATTAATATACAAAGGGATTGCATGAATTGTCTTGGCCTACGAAATTGCCACGTCCAACAACAACGAACACGGGGGGAGAGGGGGGAAACAAATTGTGTGCGGGGTTCCTAATTTAGGGCTCCAGGTCTTCGCCGAGGGCCGAGTCGCGCGACAGAAGGCGATGGAGTTGCTTGGGTGGGGCGGTGAGCGTCTTCTCCGAGTCCTCCTCCTCGATTCCACTGTCGCGGCGTTGGGTGAGATCAGCTGAAACATTTTGCGGTCAAATTTGGTCAATTTGCGAGTTTCATCTATAAGGAATTTGGGCCCCACCACGAAAACTCAAAAGTTATTGGCATTATGTTCCAGCTATTCTAAATCGTTCTGCATACCCTCACCTAACCCCATTTCAAATTTCAGCAGATAACTTCCATCTACCATCAAATTATATCGCAAAATGTCCACCTCACCGTGTACAATATCGAAATTTCGCCCAAAATCAACTCACAAGGGAAGTACTTGAAGTGTGACGCTCAGATTTTGATGAAACTTGGCACAAATTTAGAATAATTTTTTCTAAGATATATGCGGGAATCCTAGCTCGCGTTTTGCAGAAACAACCGAGATTTTTAGATCGAAAGTCGGCGAAAATTTGGGACTTTTTGCCGAATTTCGGCACGAAAAGTTTCATGCCTATTTCAACCGTAAAGAATAATGTTTCTACAAAAAATCAAATTTTTCCGCACGAAACTGCCAAAGTTATGGCCAAAAAGCGCTTTTCTCTCTGACCGCTCTCCACGTTGAGCGTGCTCTCTCAGCGGCAAAAATCGTTCAATATCTCGGCGGCGCCCGCAAAGCGCGAGCTAAAACTTTCAGGAATTGATATCTAGTCCATACCCGATGTGTGTGCAAAATTTAAAGAAAATCTGAGCGTCACACTTGAAGTACTTCCCCTGTCAATTTATCCCAAATCAGCTAATCCAACTCCTCAAACACTCCTTACCTTCGCCTTCTGAGCCAGCCAAAGGTGCGACGAATTCCTCATCGCTCTTCTTGGACTGTTTTGGAGCCTTCTGTTCTTCTTCGCTGGCTCCATCGGAGTCGGTTCTGCGGCGCGGAACGCTTTGCCGCTTCTGCTGACGGCGTTCCTGACGATTCTTGGAGGCCAGGATCGAAGAGCTGGAGCGGTAAACCCGAGCCTGGACCAGTTCATTGAAGCTGACCCTTTTCACGCGGGGTTTTTGATCTAACAAGGAAAGTACTTCTATGGGGTGTGGAATTACCGGTCGAGATATATATCAAAAAATTCGCAAAAATTTTCTGATTCAGAACATATATAAATTAGCTGCCTAATTTTGGTCTATCAGCGAGTTTTTTCAATAAATCTTTTTCTCGAGGAAAAAAATCTGCGGCAACAAAAGCGCGCTCGGTCTCTTCCTTCGGAAGAGAGCGGTGTGGCCGAGTGGTTAGAGCGCTGGGTTGGAAATCCGAGGGAAACGGGTTCGGTTCTTTTTGCCACATTAGAACCCATTTTTTACGTTGGAACTACTTTTAAGGTGTAGTTGTAATCCAATTTGATATTTTAAGGCTTGTCATGGCCTTAGAATTTAGTTTAGCATAAAACAAAATTTTTTTATTGGTAAAAACACGGTCAAAAAGACACTTGCATGGTGTCGCGAGAAAACTTCTGAGGACAAAAACATGTCATTAAACCAAAATTAGGCAGCTAATTTATATATATTCTGAATCAGAAAATTTTTGCGAATTTTTTGATATATATCTCGACCGGTAATTCCACACCCCATAGAAGTACTTTCCTTGTAAAACATGGAAATATAGTTGATTCTGGGGGAAATATTGAAGTTAAAGACATAAAATAGCCCGCAAATATTTGTAAATAGCTCTAGGTTCAAAATATAGTCAAAAAATTATAGGTAAAGTGCAACTTTTTGAAATTTTTCGGCAAAAAACGTCCAAAATATCCCAAAAATCGTAAAAAATTTCAAAAAATCCCGAGTATCAAAAAAATCTTACCCTTCACCTCCCCGTTATCCTGTTCACTGCTATTCTCGAACTCCTCCGATTCATCGCAGACGCTCAGAGGCGAATTCGGAGTGCTCAAATCCTCCATGGAGACCAGTTCGTCCAGGCTGATCTGCTCGAAGGACATGTCCAATCTGAAGCTCTCATCGTGGCATTCGGAGACGGAGCGGGCCAGCACGAAGCGGCGATCGCTTCGCTTGAGGGTCTGGCCCGCCAGCACCAGCGTGTTTCCCATGCCCGGCGGCAAGATTTTGGGCTTTTTGAGGATGGAACGAAGGCCCGTCCCATTCGGGGTGTAAATGCTCGAGTCTGAAACGGATGGTCGTATAATTTACGTCGTATTTTAGGACCGAAATTTAATTTTTCAAGCAAAAAAATGGTGAAGAAGTTGAGTTATGCCAAAATTTTCCGTTTCTTTGCAGTTTTCCGTTATTTTTTTCTCCTTTTCCGGCATATGAAATTTGAAAAAAGTGGAAAAATCTGTTCTTGATTGAAAATGTCGTTAAAATACTTAAAATACGAGAATGCTTCAATTGAAAAGCGGTTTGCTGGCTGCTACAGTGACGGACCTGACTCAGTGGCAAAGAGAGTATCATTTTGGATCCGGGAAGTATCAAAAATGTAGCAAAATACCTCCCTCTCCAAGTGAAAAAACTCTAGTTGGAGAGGGAGGTATTTTGCCACATTTTTTGATACTTCCCGGATGCAAAATGATACGTTTTTTTGCCACTGGATCAGGTCCGCCACTGTAAATGCCAGCAAACCACTTTTCAATTGATGCATTACCGTATTTAAGATATTTTAACGACATTTTCACTCAAGAACAAATTTTTCCAACTTTTTTCAAACCTCCTCCCTTCCTTACCTCCCCAACTGCTCATAATGCCCTTTTCGAATCATAAATATCTTGTGTACAAAACAGTTTTGTTATTTTCCCCTCCGGGCTTATCGCGGAAAGTCGCCGACTTTCCCGTTGGCTGATAAAATTCCGATTAAAATTCATATGCAATTCAGTCGGAGGGTTGTTGGAGTGTAAAAACTGGGGCAAAAAACCGCGAGGAAATTAATAACGGGCCGAGGGGTTTCGCCAAATTCCCGAGACTATCAATAACTGCAGTTCAAAAGAGCGACAAACTGCAAAACTATGATGAGAGCGGGCAGTGCCTTAGGGCAAATATCATAAATCACTTTGAGGGAGCGATTGATAGTATTGTTTTACTAAATCCTTCCGAAAAACACGTCAAAAACAGCCAAAAATAACGTAAAAGAATATAAATTTGCCGTGTTCCTTGATTTTTTGAGGCAAAAGTTCAAATTGCCTGCAGCAAAATTTCATAAACGACAGTAAACTGTATTCTAGGTTCATTTTAGAAACATTTTTTCTAAAAATTTACCTAAAGTAATATAAATTTTTTCAAATTATCTTCAATTTTTTGATCCCAACCTTTACTATTCGATGTCAAATACTCTAAAAAATGATCTACATTCCCTCAGACATCATTTCCTCTCCAAATTATCTCTCAAAATACTTCAAATTGCCTAAGATAACACAAAATTTCCCGTTTCTCCTCCAATTTTTATGTCCAAGCTCCCAATTATGCGTGTACTCGAGCGTTTATACATTTTCCATAGAGCTGAAGTGTTGTTCACGGTGGGCGCACATGGTCGCTGTGTATTTTTGGCCGTCAAAAGGACAATTTTTTGGACCGGAAACATTCCAAAAACACATGTCAAAAACACAATTTTCGCTCCATTTTCGTCAAGTTGATGTTAATTGCGAGCCCGGCCCGCCGTTCCCTACCATATCGCGTTCGCGGCGCTCGGCCCCAAATTGGATTTGAAACACTTTTGCAGCTGCCTTCGCTCCAAATTCGGTGGGTTTTCTAACTCAATTTGCCGGTTTATTTTTACCTCGCCGCAGGCTCTTATGAATATTCATGGCTGTACTATAAACAATTTTTTCCCCACTGACTACGATGTAACAATAGCCGTGAAAAACATTGAATTATTCACAATTTTGGGATTCGATTTCCTCGGGGGGTAAATTAAGGTTGTTTTTGAAAGGAAATGGGGTGATTAATCGAGTCGGGTTACCGGTAAGTGGGGTTGGGAATTCATAATAGTGCTGGGGAATGTCTGTGCCAGGATTTGACAGACATTTTTAGTAAACAGATTAAGGGAGGAATCGAACTTGCGACTTTTCAAACCAACTCCTAACTCACTACCACTACACTAAACCGGTACATTGGCCAAAACCCTTCCAAATCTTTCAAAAATCCCCAAAAACTTTCAAATCACCTACCATTTGAGGAGTTCACCGAGTTCTGCCGACCCAACTGATTGGACGCGAACCGCCGCACGTCCAGACACTCGCTGGCCGAGCGCGCCCTGAACTTGGGCGCATTCACCGGCCCCGAATGCTGGGTGGCCTTGAAGTCGAAGCGGGGCAGCGGGCCCGGCAACGGGCTCAGCGTGTCCTCCTCGTAGGCGCAGGGCGACGGCGGAACGCCCGAGTCCGTGGAGTCGGCCGGCGACACCGTGAGAAGAGATCGTTTTTCGGCGGCGGAGCCGGAACATTCCACCGACAGATGGTCGAAGGTCTCGTACGCCGTGGACGCCGGCTCCTTGACGGGCGTCACCGTGAAGCGACCGTGTTCCTGAGTGCGTTTTTGGGCCTGAAAACATTGATTTAGGTCAAAAATATCACTTTTTGGCGATAAACTTGAAATTCAAATGTTATCCTCCGGAGTTGGAACCTAATGACCCATTGCGTCATGAAATCTACAGGTCCTATATAGACGGTCTGCCCGCTTTTTGTTGAGGAAAAGGAATCTGGGACGATTGGGGAATCCGAAAAGTACTATCTTTCTTCGATGCAAGTGTGAAATTAGGTTAATCGAGGGTGCTGATTTCGAAAATGACATTCATTTTTTCTTTGATCTTCGCTTTTTTCCTTAAGTAGTACTGTAAAGTAATAATTTTTTGAATTTTTTCACGAATACTCGATTTGAGGGTTTTCGATGGTGCTGCTTTCAAATCAGAAAAAAATGAATAAGATTTTTGAAATCAGCACCATCAAAAACCCCTAAATCGAGTATTTATGAAAAAAAAATTCAAAATTACTACTTTACAGTACTAGTTAAGAAAAAAAGTAAAGATAAAAAATTTCATTTTCGAAATCAGCACCCTCGATTATCCTAATTTCACACATGCATCGAAGAAAAATAATAATTTTCGGTTTCCCCAATCGTCTCAGTTTCGTTTTCCTCAACAAAAAGCGGACAGACCGTCTATAAAAGACCTCTATATTTCATGACGCAATGGGTCATTAGGTTGTGCAACAAATTTGGCATGAATCCCGCCTCCTCCGACACTTTGAAACCCATTTTCGGAACCGAAATCAAATTACCTTCATAAACAACAGCCTGTTCAATTCGGCTACCGTAATTCGAACACTGGAACACTCAGAAACGGACATGACATTGTTTGAAGACAAAAAGTGTTGTCCTCTTCGACAAGGGTTTCCGAAAATAGGGATTCAACTCAAAACGGGCAGAAATTCTAGAACAATGCGATAATTATTGGCCGGAAGGAAGCGGTAGATTTGTTGAAGGGGGCAGCACAGCTGACTGCGCAAAAATATTACTATTTTAGCATTGTTCTTTGGGAGAAATTTCACAAGGAAAGTACTTATATGGGGTATGGAGTTACAGGTCGAGACATACATCAAAAAATCGCAAAATTTTTCTGATTCAGAATATGTAAAAATTAGCAGGAATTTTGGTTTGTAAGAGCGAAAAAACCCTCAGAAATTTTCGCGCAACACCACGCAAATGCTTTTTTGACCAAGTTTTTACCAAATCAAAAGCTTTGTTTTGAGCTAAAGTAAACCCTGGCATCTTGACAGGCCTTTATATTGGAACTACAAATGAAGATGTAGTATTAATCAAATATGATATTTAAAGGCTTGTAAAGATGCCAGGGCTTACTTTAGCTCGAAACAAAGCTTTTGCTTTGGTAAAAACTTGGTCAAAAAGGCATTTGCGTGGTGTTGCGAGAAAAGTTCTGAGGATTTTTTCACCCTTACAAACCAAGATTGAGCAGTTAACTTTTACACATTCTGAATCACAAAAATTTTGCGATTTTTTTGATATGTCTCGACCTGTAACTCCATCCCCCATAGAAGCACTTTCCTTGTAAAAAAAATCGGTAGAAAACAAACCATTTTGCGAACAACAAGGAATCTCTTAAAAATTCGGTGAAAACGAGCATAAACACCAAAGAAATATATGCTAAAATTCGCATAGCGCCTTGCTTCATCTATTTATAGCCATTCCAACTTATTTTCGACCACTTCTCGAGCAAAAAAGCACATTCTTTGACCGAGCCCCCTAGTGTAATATAATTCCATTTTTACAGCTGCCAAACAAGTAATCCCTAATTAATTTCCATTCCCGTAGCTGCTGAAGCACGCAATCGAGCATTGGAACAAAGATCCTCACCTGCAGCGACATCACCGCACACCCATCCTCGAAATGAGCGTCCACCGGCTTCGCATCGGGCTGGATGAGGTCGGCGGTCTTGGGGAAAGGCGCCCTGACGTAGGTTCTCAGGGTTTCCAGACGGATTTGGGCACAATCGATCATCTGCAAATTGTTACACCTTATTTTGGGCATCTTTTGGTGGGCGGAAAAGTCGGTTTCTTCGTCGAAAGCGCGATCAAATTGGAGAGAATTTTGGAGAACGAGAAACGACCGAAAAAATTGGTCGAAAGCGCAAAAATAAGGGAGGATATAACTAAAAACGACGCGAAAATACTCCCTCGATTCTTCGCGACACGCAATTTCCACAAAAATCTCGAGAAACCTCGAGCTCTTCGGGAATGCATAAAATTTCACGCTTTTTCCCCATAAATCGTACGTTTTGGGCCGGAACTTGAAAGTTTATGGGTGAATGGCGGGTAAAATACGAGAAGACTTCGGATTAGCCTTATTTTAAATATATATGTGCCGTTTTTGCGCAAATCAACGGAAAATTTTTGAAAAACAGATCAAAAAACAAGTGTAATATAAGTGAACGCCCCAAAATGGATAAAATCAATCAGCAAACACGGCGATGATCGTAGAACGCGCCTCCCAACGCCTTGACATACATAACAAAGCCATTAGCCGAAGATACGACGCGAGAATGGTGGAGAAAAAAGGTCGAAAACACGAGAAAAATCGAGAAAATCGTAAAGTGAGGATCCTTTTTGTTTATCGCTGCCCCAGCTGGCTTGTAAATTGTACTGTACTTATACTATGATGTAACTATAACCATTCCGACCTTTTTTCATTGTAAACGGTTTACAATTTAATGGGCTTTTCCGCGCCCTTTTTCAAGGTTTTATTACTGTCGCACGGTGCGGTAGGGGAAATGAAAAATGAGACTGCACGGTGCGGTGGGAAAAACGAAATGGAACGCACAGTGCAATCAACAAGTCGGAGTGCACTGTGCAACGGTAAAAATAGACTGCACTGTGCAAGAAGAAAAATATTGCACTGTGCGGTAGGGAAATGAAAAAGTGGAACTGCACGGTGCGGGGGGAAACCCGAAATGGGACGCACAGTGCAATCAACAAGTCAGAGTGCACTGTGCAACGGCAAAAACAGACCGCACTGTGCAAGAAAAAAAATATTGCACTGTGCAAGAAAAAAATTGCACTGTGCAACGGCAAAAATTATTGCACCGTGCAAGAAAAATTTATCGCACTACGGTAAAAACCGCACAGTGCGAAATTTATCCGCTTTTGGACTGCACAGTGCACAAAAAAATCGAACCTATTGATCGGAAATGCCCCATTGCACAGTGCGATCACTCGCCGAAAGCCTGTCGAGAGTGCAAAAATCAAGGCCAATATGGCCCATTTGAATGGCAAGGGCAAAGATCGGTTTCAGAGAGCGGAAAGGATTGAATGCACCGTGCAATCCCTTGTTTTCCTATCCATTATGGCGGAATGGGAAGCGCCAAACAAAGAGAGAGAGTGCACAGTGCATTTGAAAGGGGGGCGAAAATGGGAAATCAATGTGCAGATCGAAAATCGGAATTTTATTTTAATTTGCACTGTGCAAAAAGGATGGGAAATAAAATTGGTTGCACAGTGCAACAGAAAATGAATTGCACTTTGCGGATGAGAAGTGGAAGAAAAAATGGTCTCTGCACTGTGCAGAAATTTAAAAATGAGCTGTCGCACGGTGCGAGTCAAACGTTGAGCTCAAAGAATGACCGCACCGTGCAGAGAACAAGTAAAAAAACACGCGCACCGTGCAGTCCAGACCACACCGCACCGTGCGGCGGAAGTCACCCTGACCCACCGCACCGTGCATTAGTCTAATCGCTCAACTGCACCGTGCATGCAGGGGGCTAAAACAGCGACTTTTGGCCAAACGAACCCCACGGGCCGAGCCCCAAAAGAGTGCGGAACAACAAAATTTTCGGGGTGGGCCTTTTTTCCCCCACCCCCCTCCGAAAAAATCGTCGCTCTTCGTGTGTCGGAGAGAGGCGGGCGGCGCTCAGGGGACGGAAAAGCCACGGGACCGGAGAGGCGATTCTGCCGCCGCACTGTCGCGGCCCCCACCGTTCCATGTGACCCGAACAGAAACGGCACCCTGCGCTCTTTTTTCGAACGTCTGCACCGTGCACTCCCTCTCTCTCCCACCGCCCTCTCGTCGGCCGAATGCACGGTGCGAACCCACGGTTGGCCCTCACTCTCGTCGCGGCGTCTCGTGGTCTGCGGCCCTTGTCAGGGGGGAGAAAAGATGGATGAGGAGGGAGGGCAAGCGACAAAACTGCAGCGACCAAACAAAGATTGAAACCCTGGGAAGAGAAAATAGCGACAAGATGAAACTTTCGGACTTGCTGCACTGTGCGGCGCGATGCGACTTGATTGATCGCGCGGTGCACAGTGCAGAAAGTCGAAAAAAAGAATGCACAGTGCGGGCCAAAACCTCAAACTCATTGCACAGTGCAAACAAAACCAGAGATCACAGATCGCACGGAACGCGGATTTCATCACCAGACGCGCTGTCGCCGCGATCTCCAGAAGGTTCGAAAACGCATTTGCACAGTGCGACCTCATTTTCTCCCCGCCCCACTCCCCCGCTCCGACCCCGCGCGCTCCGGATCCGCGCACTGTGCATGCGTTCTTTGTTCGCGCGACATCCCGTTTTCGCCTCCTCTCCATTTCTCCCCGCGCCATCATCCCATCGGCGATTGGGGGAATCCGGGTTTGGATTCAGCGACAGCGATCCAAAACAAGACAATTTTTGGGCTGCCGCTGGTCGTGTGATGGGCGAGCGCGCGGCCAAGTTTCTCAAAAAAAAAAGAGGAAGAAGAAAGAAGTGGGCGCTTCGAAAGGGTCGGATCAAAAATGGCGTCAGCACAAGAGCGAGTGTCGAGCGACAAAAGGTTTCGATCAGGAAGAGATGCACGGTGCGATAAGTTTTTGAGTGCACAGTGCGCAATGACAGTTGATGGGTCTTGTGATCCCATGCACGGTGCGATGGAAAAAAGCGAATTTTGACTTGTCGCACAGTGCATGCGACAAAAATGCCAAATTTCTGTCGCGGACACAAAAAATTTTCAGCACCGTGCGATTTTTGGAAATTTTGCATGTGTTTTTTGTCGCTTCCTCACTGACCTCCACCCGCACTGTGCATTCCAAAAATCACCTGCCAAACGAAGGGAGTTCGCACCGTGCGGCCTTGACAAATGTCCTTGTCGCTGGCGTGACATTCGCCAAGGTCGGCAAAACAGAAAAGCGACAACATTCGAAGAGCGTTTCGCGACACAAGTCGGAAGCTGATTTTGTTTTCGCGATCAACGCGGCCATCACGTGGCGATGAGTCAGGCCGTCTGGGCCGAGAGCGACCAAAACGAGAAAAGCGGACCGCACCGTGCGATCGTGTTTGCTCATTGTCTGGCATCGCTCACCGTGCGGCCAGACTGGCGAACGTTGAAAACATGGCTTACGCACGGTGCGGTCAACAAGATGGAGGAGCGAGAGGGATTGGGTTTCGTCGCGGCGTGCGGAAATCCGACGGATCTCTGAGATGCACAGTGCAGAAACCGCGATAAAAATTGCACAGTGCAGAAATTGCGACAAAAATTGCACAGTGCAGAAACTGCGATAAAGATTGCACAGTGCCAAAACTGCGATAAAAATTGCACAGTGCAGAAAAACGTTTTTCAGTGCACAGTGCAGTGGAAACACAAATCTTTTCTCCGCACAGTGCAGCAAGACCAAAATCTCTTTGCGCTGCACGGTGCGGCCCTCACTTCCGACCGCACCGTGCAGAAACTGCGATAAAGGCTGAAAAATTGCACAGTGCAGAAACTGCGATAGAAATTGAAAAATTGCACAGTGCAGAAAAACGTTTTTCAGTGCACAGTGCGGTTGAAACACAAATCTTTCCTCCGCACAGTGCAGTAGGACCAAAATCTCTTCGCGCTGCACGGTGCGGCCCTCACTTCCGACCGCACCGTGCATGAAACTCACCTCGCCGCTGCTGGCCTGTTTGTTTGCACGGTGCGGGCGGAAAAAAACATGCCGTGCCGAAAACGGCTAAAATTACGATAAATATTGACGGTGAAAAGTGCATTCGGTGTAATCCCACCCCACTATTTACACTTTTATTTCGATTTTTTTTGCTCAAAACGCACGTAGAACTGGGATCGCACAGTGCAGTGGGTTCAGATTCATCTGGCGATTTGTCGCGAATGTTGGCGAAATTAAAAATTTTGTTTTGCCATTTTCATAGAGTATTTGGAAGGCTATCAGATGGTAAAAAATTTTTTTTGATATGCTTGGTATTTGGGGAGAAATTACCGGTCGAAAATTTGGTCACTGCACTGTGCGAAAATTTAACTAAAAATGGACTTAAATACTAAAAATTTGAAATTCAAACCATTTAGAATTAAATATACAGCCTCCTGCTGTCAAATTCTATCAAAATTACAGTAAGGCTTACTGTAATTTACCCAAAAATTCAACTTTTTCCACAAATTTTTGACTTTTTCCAGAAAATCCCCCGTAAAAATCGAATAACCAGCCCTCCAAACGAGGCGTCAAGAACCGCCGGTCACTCAAGCCGCCCGCCCGACTGCCCTCTGGTCATTGGCCGGCCCGAATGACGGCTCCAAATGTTAAAATCCTCCGCATTTTGTCGCTCCGTCGTACCAGGCCGCGGATTTTCGGAAGGTAGTGTTTTTTCTTGCGGAATGTCAGCTGAGTTTACAAAAAAACGCCCGGATAAAAATACGCGGCCGATTCAGACATTCCGGAACTTTTTTTAAACAAATTTTCCGTCTTTTGTACAAAAATAACACAGAATACAGTAGGAGCGATGAAAAAAATGGACACGTGCAACTCGATTCGAGCTATTTTTGGGTCTATTCTATTGTCTAATCGAAAAAATTTCGATTTTCCGGGTTTTTTGAAAAATCATAGGGCGCAGCTCGCGGATAAAAATACCGTAAATACAGCGTCTTAAATGCATAAAATTGATAGGAATTGACATTACAGGTCCTATACTCCATATAAACCCCAAATTTTACCCTCAATGACGTCATTTTTATTATCCCAGGGCGCAGCTTGCCAAGTGAAAAAATGTAAAATTCTACAAAATTAAATTAAAAAATCGAATCTATAGCTTTCTGGAGGGCCAATTTCCAACCCCCAATTCAAAAAAATAGCGATAAAAGCGGTATAATTAAAATTTACGTGGGCGCGAGCTGCGCCCTAGGAATCGCCGGAAGCGGATGGAAAAAGTAAAAATAAGGTAGAAATTAAATTTTAGGTCATAATGAGTTCTGTTGCTACATAAATTTGACATTTTTATATCGGTTTCCCACTTTTTTTGGTATAATGTTATACTAGGTACATTAATATAAATTTTCAGTTTTCTATGCAAATTTACTGCCCTAGAATCTTCGAACCCACTCACATCCGAAGCTCCCTACCATTTCCGTTACCTAATCCGCATCCACCAAACAAATCATCCGCAAAATTGGGCGTAAAATAGCGATTAGGGCCCAAAATTGTGACGAACCCGCGAAGAATTGCTCTCCTAATCCCATTTCGAAGTCGTGTCCAAAATAACTTTTGGCCGGTTGTAAAGTAGGAGGGGTTTTTTGCGCTAAATGTATCATAGATTAGAGAGATGTAGTCACATGAAAATTGTGTTGTTTTTCGCCGGGGGAAAACAAAATACGCGGAAGATGGAAAAGCCTGGGGAAAAGTGCAAAATAAGGGGAGAGAGATGATGTAAAGAGTGTAAAAAGTGATAAAAAGTAATTATAGTAGTGTTGCAACAAATAATTGTGGGTATTTTTGTAACAATTTTTGGTAAAAAAATAAAAAAAAAAAATTTTTTTTGTTAAAAAATCGCTAAAATTATTTTTAGAAGCCTTATTAGAAGCAGCAATTGAAAAAATAAAAAAGTAGTTTTTTTTTGTAATCTTCTTGTAAAGCGATACGAAAATCTCAAAAGATGATTATTTAATTTTCTAAATTTATCGGGGAATTCACGTCAAACCCGAGTAAAAGCACATGGTATTTACATAATTAGTAGTAGAAAAAAAGGAGAATATTGTCGAAAACGTATCTTCATAAAATTTTTAAATATTTACATCTCTTGTAAACCGGATTTACCTGACTTTTCAGGCCCATCAAAGAGCAAAAGACACTTTTTCCCCGTATTTTAGCCAAATCACGGCCAAAAAATTCTATTTTCGCCATAAAAATGTAATATTTTCGGAGGAAAAAATCGTTTGAAAGAAACGTTTCTCCCCGACTTTATGGCTTCGCTTTACAAGATTAACTATTTTTACGATGATAAACACACATATAGTATCCCATAGTAACTGGTTTTCCATGTTTCCCCGAAATGGCCGAAAAGGTCAAGAATAGGGTAATCGATGGCGTAGATTCCAAAAACCATATTCGTTTTTTTCTGATTCTTACTTTTTTCCTTTAGTAGTAATGTTAAAAAGTAATTTTTTGGATTTTTTCTAAAAATAGTCGATTTAGGGGTTTTCGAGGGTGCTGGTTTCGAATTTCGGGTTCATTTTTTCTGAAGTTTACTAGTTTTCTTTAAACAGTAGTGTTAAAAAGTAATTTCTTGAAAATTTTCCAAAAATACTCGATTTAGGGGTTATCGAGGGTGCTGATTTCGAACTTAAGGAAAAAAGTAACTATCTAAAAAACGAATGTTATTTTCGAAATCAGCACCCTCGAAAACCCCTAAATCCAGTATTTTTAGAAAAATTTCAAAAAATTACTTTTTAACATTACTACTTAAGGAAAAAAGTCAGAATCAGAAAAAAAGGAATATGATTTTTGGAATCTACGCCATCGATTACCCTTCGGGGTCTCTTTCGATGGATTTCATAGTAACTGGACCTTGAACTGTTGAGTAAATCCAATTTCCCAATCCCCACCCTTCAAATTTTACGTCTATTTTCTAAATTTAGCAAACTTTTTTTCCCTCGAGGGATCTATTTTGCTTTTTTTTCACGCGTCTCCTATTTGTCGCTCTATTTTTTTTTAAAACTTTTTTCTTCGAATTTCGGCCGAATGTTCTTTGGACCGGGATCTGAACGAGGGGCCGATCATTAATCTCGGTCACGGGGAGGGCGATAAAATTGGGTCATAATCTGCAGACAACCGATTTACAGCCATTATTTCAAGGATCATGAGAACGTTGCGACAAAGGGCGATCAAGATTTATAAATGAGGGAATTCGGGAGTTTAGACAGTTGGTTTGGTGGGGAAAAGCTTAGCAGAGAGAGAGGGATAAAAGTGCAAATAACAGATGGCTGTTCGCTGTAAATAGACATACAGTAATTTTGGAAATGAAAAAATAAAGGGGTTTGTTTCAAACAATTGCTTTTTTTGAAGCGCTATTAGAGCTAGTTTTGAACTAAAGGGTAAAAAAAAAAAAATTTTTTTTGTTTTGTGCCCTGACAACAAAGTCGAAAAAGTTGCAAATTGTAAAATAATTTTCAGCACACAAATGTCACAGTAAATTTTTCTAGTGGTTATTGGGACAATAAGCAATGATTTTTTTCGGCGTCATGACACTTTTTTGCATTCACTTTGCGGGCAGCCCACATTTTCCGATTAGAATTACGATTTTCTTCTCGTAATCTACAGTGACGGACCTGATCCAGTGGCAAAAAACGGACCATTTTGCATCCCGGAAGTATCAAAAAATGTAGCAAAATGCCTCCCTGTCCAAGTGAAAAAAACTCCGCCTTCAAAACGAAGATTTTTTTAGTGGGAGGGGGAGGCATTTTGCCGCATTTTTTGACGCTTCCCGGATGCAAAAGGGTACGTGTTTTGCCACTGGATCAAGTCCATCACTATAGAACAAGAAGCAAAGTTAACTTCTACTAAAGAATGTTTAGCTACACGACTTTACTGCCTGTAAATTTATATCTGCATATGTAATCATGATGACTGAAATATACAGTAGTTCCAGCCGAAATTTTAATTGATCACAGTATTTTCTAGCCTAATTCTAGGCGGTTTTTGTATTGCAATTCAAGATATATCTATCAACAACCACTTTTTTTTGCAAAAGATAAGTGTTTTCAAAATTTTGCAAACAACTTTTTTAGCCCTAAACAGTACTAAATGCCCTTTTACGTCTTTGCCAACTCTGTAAAGCGGTTTAATCTTCCTCAAATCCCACATTTTGAAACACTCCTTGGCTTTGTTACACTTGAAAATTAAAAAATTCCGTTTTTTGAAATGCCACTTCTCATGCCCCGAGGCATTATTCATTATTCAAAGAGCTCCCTTGCACATGCTGAATGCCTAATGTGTTTGCTGCATTGAATCCGATATTAGAATTCTTTTTTCGAAAAATTAACTCATCACAGACCAAAGAGCGGATATCCAGCTGATATAAAAGCGCTTTAATCAGCTAAAAAACAGGTGGGAAACGTAAAAAAAACTATATACCCCGCTTTTCGCGTTTGCTTGTTGTATAATATAATATAACAGCAACAGCTCGAATAGTGGTCAAACGTCACGTAAAGTCTGGA